ATAAATATGTACCTTTTTAATGTTAGCACACAGGGGAGAGATTTGGAGACAGAAACGCTGCTCCATCTTATAATGAGAGAGGCTGACATGTTCAGGTTTTCTATTTTAATGATATTGCAAACATATACTTTAATCTTATAAACTCTGTTATAAATTATTGTAATGGATTTTATATGTCTATATTTATGTTTTTATTTAATAAAATATCTAAAAAGACAAAACTTTATTGCTTCCAAGACAATCCTTATTTTGTATTGTATGCTTAATTATTTATATGTATTTTAGATAGAGGATCTCTTACAAACTATATAACATTTTATCTAGTATGGTGAGCCCTGCTAAGTTCTATGCTTTAAGATGTTACAGTGGTAAATAAGGGAACCGGCTGCGGTTACATTTGGGGCCCAACGTGGGGCTTGTACTTGGAAGCTTTAACTATAAAATAATATATATACCTAGGTAACCTTTTTTATGTAAGAGAAGACCCAATATTTTGTCATGGCACAAGTCTTTAAATATTAAGATCTAATGAGCTATTTGTAGCCCAGACTCAGAGAGAGATCTTCATCATGAAGAGACTATTTTATGTGAACTTGTACAAGGCACTTGGGGTTCAGGTGCCAGGTACATTGTAATACAAAACAGGGGATAATCTGCTAAACCAATAAAAAAAAAGGAAAACATATCATATAACTGTGTGGATAATGAGCCACAAATGTTGTTTTCCCAAATGGCAACTCACAATTTCACTGAAGTATTAATGGCTTTAACATAAATTCCCTCCAAGGGTTCAGTCTTCACAGTGTATTTAGATAACCATTATTTGGCTGGAGTACATATACTCAGTAGAAAGAATAAAGTTTTAGTGCACAATCAAGTATGGAATAAAAAAACTATTTATTCACTTACATAGAAGTTAAAAACGATAGGTCTAGTTGCTCAGAATCCCCGCCAGGCGTCCTACGCGTTTCGTCCGTGTTTAGGACTTCCGTCCTAAAGTCCCCGAGGAAGTCCTATACATGGACGAAATGCAAAACACTGCTAAAGTCCCAGAGGAAGTCCTATACATGGACGAAACGCGAAACATAAATATACAGGAGCTCTAATAACTTTTAAACTGAAATGATTGAAATGTTTTATTCAAATGAAATGTTAAGATTTAAATGTAACCAAATATACTAAATGATGTACTATATCACTGTACCTGCAGTGATAGCAGTACAGACATTAGAGCAATAATACTGTACTGATTACAATCAGATCAGACACATGTAATCTCAGTGGATTTTCTCTAAAAATAAATATATCAATGTTGTTTATTAATAAATATATAGACTAGACAGTAAGAGCAGTTGCATGCTGTACCAGGCTGCATTCAGCAGCCTGCTGTCTTAGAGCCAGGAACTGATTTTTTTGTAAAAATTTATTATTATAAAAAACAGGTTTAAAAATCTAGAGAAAAGCCCACAGTGATGAGTATACCACAACCACACATGATGGGTAAAATAATTGCTTCTATAAAAGCTATATGCTGCGGCAAATATGTATATGTGGCTCATTATACACACAGTAATACGCTAGGTTTTCCTGTTTTTTATTGGTTTAGTAGATTATCCCCTATTTTTTTGTATATACCGTATATACTCTAGTATAAGACGAGTTTTTCGGCACATTTTTTGTGCTGAAAAACCCCCACTCGTCTTATACTCGAGTCAGTATCTGTATTATGGCAACTTACATTCCGGTCAGCTCCCTTCTCCTCCACTGTAAGTCTTGCGAGAACCGCAGGGTCAGAGCTGTGGCAACGCTCCTCGCGGCAGTGGAGCTGACAGGGGAGCTGACCGGACCGGAGGAGAGAGAAGGGAGCTGACAGGAGCTGCAGGAAAGGTAAGTAAACGCTTCCTGCCAGCCCCCTCCTACACAGCCCATCCACTGGACCACCAGGGAATGAGAGCCCCACTCTCTGGCCATGTATCAAGCAGGGAGGGGGGACGAAAAAAATAAAAAAAAATTAAATAATATAAAAAATATATATATTAAAATAATAATATTAATAATATATAAAAAAATATATAAAAATAATAATAATATAAAAATAAATAAATATTAAAATAATAATAATATAAAAATAATAATAAAAATGCACACCCCCCACCAAGGCTCTGCATCACGTACACATACACACACTGCACTCATACACACACACACACTGCACTCATACACACACACACTGCACTCATACACACACACTGCACTCATACACACACACTGCATTCATACACACTGCGTTCACACACACTGCACTCATACACACTGCACTCATACACACACACACTGCATTCATACACACACATACTGCATTCATTATATACACACACTGTAAATAAATATTCAATTAATATAATTTTTGGGGGATCTAAATTTTATTTAGAAATTTACCAGTAGCTGCTGCATTTCCCACCCTAGTCTTATACTCGAGTCAATAAGTTTTCCCAGTTTTTGGGGGTAAAATTAGGGGTCTCGACTTATATTCGGGTCGACTTATACTCGAGTATATACGGTATATACCTTTGGAAGCTTCACCTTGTACACAGAAGTTTCTGTCTGCTAACATCTCACTTGCATTAATTGCACTTTTGGTTTGTGTATGCACATATCCTGTTTTATCTGCACATTGTAATACAATGCTGACATTAAGGATCTTAGTTAATATCATAAGAGAAACATATATACATATTTGGTAAACTCCCTAATATGCCTTATACACCAGCACAGCATGGTCCATTAGTTCCAGGAAAATGGGTTGTAGGCAGGGGGCCATGTTCCCTCTGTAGTTGCATAATTTGCATGCGCAAAAAAAAGAAAGAAAAAAAGATTAATGCAATATATATCGCCGTCATGAAAAAATTATAAGACAAGCAATGAAAGCAATACTTGCTATTACATTACTAGTAGATTTCAAAGTCTAATTCCAAGACTGCAAAAAATTGCATTAAGACTTAAAGGACCACTATAGTGCCAGGAAAACATACTCGTTTTCCTGGCACTATAGTGCCCTGAGGGTGCCCCCACCCTCAGGGTCCCCCTCCCGCCCGTCTCTGGAAGGGGGAAAGGGTTAAAAACTTACCTTTTTCCAACGCTGGGCGGGGAGCTCTCTGCCTCCGATCCTCCTCCGTTCCTCCTCCTGGGCTGAATGCGCACGCGCGGCAAGAGCTGCGCGCGCATTCAGCCGGTCGCATAGGAAAGCATTTACAATGCTTTCCTATGGACGCTTGCGTGCTCTCACTGTGAAAATCACAGTGAGAATCACGCAAGCGCCTCTAGTGGCTGTCAATGAGACTGCCACTAGAGGATTAGGGGGAAGGATTAACCCATTTATAAACATAGCAGTTTCTCTGAAACTGCTATGTTTATAAAAAAATGGGTTAACCCTAGAAGGACCTGGCACCCAGACCACTTCATTAAGCTGAAGTGGTCTGGGTGCCTAGAGTGGTCCTTTAATGAAAACATTCATACCACAGATTCATGCACAAATGCAACATACAGACAGGAATTTTAATTATTGCATTACTGCCTTCTGGATTGTAATATCACTATATGAAAAGTTTTATAAAACAGTGATAATTTCCATATAGTCAGTTACACTTGCTGTTGATTAAAAAATCAGGAATTATAACTGCGTACTATTTTTGGAGTATGGGATTTCCAGCGAAGATTTCCAGCCAAAGTTGTGGAGTTAAAGAAACAGATAAACAATGCTTCCATTCCAAGGAATTGAGAAGTCGTTTTTTTTTAATATTCCCAATTATTAATAACTTTATTACACACAGCCATAAAGAAAAAGACATAGCTTTTAAAAACATTCAGTGCAGTACAATGCAGTACACGGCAGCATATCTTTTATATAAATTATGCTTACTAGCTTATATTTTTACATAATATACTCCCCCCCTAGAGAAATATAACACAAGGGCAACAGGTTGTTATACATCATTTGCTTCACTAAATGCTCTGCAAAAATAAATATTTATAAAATAATTAAAAATAATATTAATGTAAGATAAATCAGGGCAAATAAAATTGTAAATATACAGGATCTCTAAAAACGTTTAAACTGAAATTATTGAAATGTTTTATTTAAATGAAATGTTAAATACATTTACAGTTTTAAATGTAACCGAAGTTGCTAAATGATGTACTATATCACCATACCTGCAGTGATAGCAGTACAGACATTAGAGCAATGATACTATACTGGAAAAAGAGAAAAAAACAGTGCTAAATTGCCACAATAAAATTATTAGGAAGGCAGCACTCCTCAAAGGGGAGTCCCCAATAATCCCCTAATGGTAACAGATAGCAAGAACAAACAAAGATATAAGGATGCACCTAAAACTTGATCAAATAAAGGACTAAATTAGTCAGATAAAATACAGAATAAAATAAGTAATAAAACAATAGTCCAATAAAATAGGCTTATCACAGTCCGTGAGGGTAGGTCCCACTTGTAAAGGAATATTCTTTAGGGTGTAGATGGGATCGTATCTTCAAATGTTGAAAATTCAGCATATGTGGAGAGAAAAATAAAAACAGAACTCCAATGGCACAGTAAATCGGTGTATAAAATAAATATATATAAATATAATATAGCTTTTCAGAGCTAGGATCAGCTCTGATATTGCTCGCGTAAAGTGTAATGATCCCCACTTCAAGGATATATGGAGTGAATTTTGATAGTTGAATATCTGACGTGGGTTCAGCGTTCAATTTGACGTAATACGACCCAGAGGAAAAAATGAAATAAAATATATTGAGTCTGCTCTACTTTACGTGAGTAGTATACTTTACCTTCTTTTAATTTTGGATTACATACAGTGAGCACTATATATTTTATTAAATTTTTTCCTCTGGGTCGTATTACGTCAAATTGAACGCTGAACCCACGTCAGATATTCAACTATCAAAATTCACTCCATATATCCTTGAAGTGGGGATCATTCCACTTTACACGAGCAATATCCAGCTCTGGGGTGAAGCGTCTGCAGTGGTATTATTCCCCCACTTCAGGGATGTGATGAGAGACATAGGTCAGGGTGTGTCTTGTCAGCAGGATATGTAAAGGTAAAAACAAAGGTACAACGGATAGTGCGCTCTGTATAAAATATATCCAGGAGAAGAAATAAATGTATAATACTCACATTTACCTGTGTCGGGTCCTCGGTCTCTGCCTAATTAGAGAGCCACCTCTTGATAACAGATGATGCTGATAGAATATATGCAACCAATTCTAGACAAATACTTGGATAGCTGGACTTTACAACCAATATTCTACAACAAATACCCAGGTACACTACAAACACAACCTCCTGAAACGTATCTAAGGAATGTAAACTTCTACAGGCCTATAAAGACTTTGGATTACAAATACAATTACAGTTTGCATTTCAATTACTATTAGAATTTAATCCAAGAATATCTTACTCTGGAACTTGATGTTCTTTTTAATTATTTCCCAAACAAAAGCTTTGCTCATTTTTAACCAACCATCAGAGATCAGATGCAGAGATCACACTAAGGATGTGTTATCCTTACAACAATGATCAAAGACATTGGGAACAAAAAACTTAAAGACTGTTGGAAGAACTCTGGATTTCTAATTTAAAGAAGAAATGCTCTACAATGCCCACAGTTTAATGGAGAGGGTGTTATGGGCAAATGCAAATATTACAAGTTTTAGAATGCAAAGTTGTATTTTTTTAAACTGTGTATTTTGTCTTTAAGATATTGCAAACTGACAATGTGTTAGAAATGGAACAAATTTTTTTTATACAATGTTTCTTTAATAAATAACCTCTTACCTACTTTCAGTGCATAATATGCTGCGTAGTTCTAACTTACGCCATTTTGTCTTAGCTTAATGGAATTCCCCATGACGTGTGCACCCTTGCGTTTTAGTTATGGCCTTTGCCAAGTTAAGGGAGGTCCTAAAATTAATATTTAAGATTTGGAGACAGAAACACTGCTCCATCCTATAATAACTGAGAGATGCTGACATGTTGACATGTTCAGGAGGGTATGTTATTCTATTTTAATGATATTGCAAGCATATATTTTAATCTTATAAACTCTGCTATACATTATTGTAATGGGTTTTATATGTCTATATTTATATTTTTATTTATTAAAATATCTAAAAAGACAAAACTTTATTGTTTCCAAGACAATCCTCATTTTATATTTTATTCTCAATTATTTATATGTATTTTAGATAGAGGGTCTCTTACTAACTATATAATATTTTAGCTAAGATATCTGTATGGTTAGCCCTGCTAGGTTCTATGCTTAAACACTTTATAGTTGTAAATAAGGGAACCGGATGCGTATTGACCACATATCCCACTCCTCTGACCCCGAATTCAGATAATACGCATTTTCTTTCGGCACTGCTCCCTTCTTTTCTCACCTGTTTTGGTTTCTCGCCTCCTATATGAGTTCATAATCTCCTGGTGTCAGGCCGTTTCCCTCCCAGAGACATTAATGGAGTCGCACCCTTACTCACTGTTAGTGAGTTTCCGATCCCAACAAATGCCACAGTTTGTATCTTCTTTACTCTGCACTGGTGAAGTCTCTAGAAATGTTCACTCAATTGAAAAACTATTTTACGCTATCAACCCTTAGAACACAGTGTGTCACACTATATCACCTATTGACATCCTCAGATGGCCCTTCGCTCCCTTACTACACCAAACTTTGGAAGCACGACCTTCACAAAACTATGTATGATTACCAATGGAAATTGGTATTTCTCCTGACCCATAAGTCCTCTTTCAGCACCCACTACCATGAATCAGGTTATAAATTACTCACTTATTGATACCACACACAAGAGAAGCTAAAACATATGTACTCAACTGCAGACCAGAGTGCTGGTGCTGTGGGAAAGCGCTGGACACTCTCATCCATATTTGGTGGTGGTGTCTGGAGATCAGATCATTCTGGAACACTGTTCACACCGTTGTTTTCCAAATAGCAGACATCGTACTTTCATTTGATGAAGAAACCTACCTGTTCCATCTCAATCCGTTTCCCATACGATTGTAAAGAACAGGCATAGGCAACCATCGGCACTCACCTCCCATGATGCTTTGCCAGCATTACGGGTGTAAGAGCATTATGGGGGATCTAGTCCAAAACATATGGAGTGCCGAAGGTTGCCTATCCCTGGTATAGAACATCTTCCCACTTGATCAATGTCGCCTATGGTCTTAAACCCACCTTTTGGAAGTGGAGAGAAGCTCTTATACTAGATTGGTTTATCAGAGTGGAGGAAATTTGTGAAGAGCTTATACTTGCAGCCACCAGATAACCACCAACGCTATATGGACATATGGTACCACTGAATTCGGTGTTTCTCTGGGGGAACGGAGGAACTGGACACGGACTCCTTCCCCTAGTATTGTGGGTGCAATTTAATGGCCACTGTTGGTAGGGCTCTACCTGGCCTAGGCATTCCCTTAACAGATTCCTACACTTCACTTCCACCTAACTCTTTTTCCCTCTATCTGACCTGACTTTGCATCATCTACCTCTGCCTATTTCTTCCTCTTTCCTTTATGCTCTACCCTAGCCATCTTCTACCTATTATATTAACTCCTTTAAATGGCTAAGGAGATTGATTAGTATTTCTACAAGATGCCATTTTTTTCTGTTACTATGGTTATAATACCTGACACTCTAATATATGTATTGTACATTCTGTGAATAACATGAGTCTGTACTTATGCTTGGAACTAATTACTACATTTTTCTTTTTTAGTATGAATGATAAAAAAAATATACATCACAATTAAAATGAAAGAATGATATCTCCTTATGTGTTCACACAGTAAGAAGCTACCAATTCTAAAACAGAAAATATTACCTCCAAAACCACTAATATATATGAATGAACCCATTAGATGGTTAGGACAAGCCATGATGGACAGTTTATACACTTACTCACACTCCTCTTTCTTGTAAGTGTCACAAAGTGACAGACACATGCAAACAATAAACTGTCACTGTAAATACATTTTAGACAGGAATGTATTTAGTGTGTACACAGGAATGTATTTAACTCCCTCATCACGTTTTCTTAACCGCATTAGAAAGCCGAGTATATGAAATAATGTAGATTTAATCATTGCACCACCATTGTGTGTGAGTTTGGGTCAACAGAAATAAGTAACTAATGGAATATAGAAAATGGGTCTTTATGTGCTGTCAGTTATCGTTCACTCAAAGCTTAGTACAGAAAGACATAATAGTATCTTTTTAGAATTCCACGTTTACAGCGGAACCTACTTGAGACGTTTCGTTATGAGCAATCTTTGCTTTATATTTATTAGCATTTATATAATAATCTCCAATTCACTGTCGTTAAACAGCCAATCCCAGAATACAAATTTGACAGCTCTCTTCCACTTCTTTGGACACCTTTTAAAGTTCTCTACTTTGAAACCTCTTAAACTAGCATCACATTGTGAAAGGAAAAAGCTAATGACTAAATTCGTAGAGATTATTTGGATTACTAAGAGCTAACATATACTAATAATAATATATTCTTAAAACGGTTATTTTGTTCTCTGCCAGTCAAGCAAAAATTCTCCTTATGTCACATTAGTTTTATTCAGTTACAAATTTACTATGTTTTATAAATAACTAAATGTATGATAGTATGATGATTTTCAATCCCAATCAATTTGGAGTTTTTTTTAACCTTACTCAGCAGAATAAATATTTTTAGGTTCCAAATGCATAACTTTTTTTTTTTTTTTAACAAAAAGCTTGTTACTGTATGAACAGATCTTTCCGGTTGCCCCCCAAGTAGAGAAACTTGGAAAATTTAAAAATAAAAACCAAAACATGTTGCACAATAGTCAGTTAATAATATACCAATATTAAATCTTTGTTAGTAACAATGAATTATTCCCTGCTCCAATCATAAGTTCTAAACATATTAAAAGCATGAATAGAAAAAGAAACAAAATACATTGTGCAATATTATGAAATTCTAATATAGTGATCATTAAACTCAAATACACTTCTAGAGAGCTGTGTGTAATTCAGCCGTTAAATCGCCAGTTCAATTACCGAGTGTATAGGAATAACTCTCATTAAAATCCACATGTGGAAAACAAGAAAATATATCATATACGACTTTATTTAATGCAATTTGGTTGTAATAAAATATTTGGAATGGCATACCCAGCTCCCTAAGTATGCTTATTTAGTACTTATTGAAGTTTACCAAGGCTACCATCAAGAATATCCTATCCTAAAACCATTTCCCCCAGACACATATTCCCAGACACACACACAGAGATGCACATTCCAAAACACATACATTCTGCTAAATATTCATGGAGCACACACAGACACACTCCCAGACAGATACAAATGTAGAAATATAATTATTTGATTTGTACTCGCCTTTCTGTTTCCTACCATCTGGGCTCGGAAGAGTGGCTTCTAGGTGTCTACGAGAGCACTTTTGATGGCTTTCCTTGCTGTCCCATGCGGCATCCTTGGAACACATGGTAGAAAGATACGATACCACATTCTCTGAGAGCTTCAGTTACATAAATGCAAGGATGCAATCTGTGTGGGCTTGCATCATTGCAGTTTTTAATGCACTTAATGTAGACAGAGGACAGCATACTGTTTTAGTGCTTGGCTGGTCCCTTTTATAAATATATGGCATCTGTATCCATAATAGCAGCCATGATATTCACTAACAGATGCTCTCTTCTCAAAGCCACAATACATCTTTTTCCATTCCAAACAGTCCATGTGGACCTTATAATGCAAGTGTGTCTCTCTTCCTGTTCACTTTGTTACACCTCTTCCTTTTCCCTACTGACACTCCAGGAATCAACAGAAATGTATTGCATTTTCTTTCACTTTTTTATGTATTTCGATAAAAAGTTAATAAACAAAATAAATTGGTGGTTCCCCTACTCTTAAGACTGGTAGAGGACAAAGGGAGTTGCAATTCTGTGGCATCTGAGGATTTAACCATATCCGCCTTACTTTATATGAAAAATACTCATTTACAGTATTTTAAAATTCTGTCTGTGTTATTGGTCATTTCCACCTAAATATAAGAAAAAAAGTTTTTAAAGAATTATCCTCAATAATTCACCTTGATTTTTTCAAGCACATAGTCAAATTAATGTACTTTCACCATGTACTATTTAAAATAAAGAAATAAAACATTTTCTAAGACATCTCAAAATATGTCACTGGCTATTCTTGGGCAAGACTAGCAGAACAAAATAATCCCTTAGTACACTCGTTGTGCAAGGTGTATTGAAAGATTGGATTTGGAATGATCTTTAGCAAAGAGCCGTGCCAAGTGTTCTAAAATATGCAGCTTGCAAAATCCACACCCTGTTCTCTAAACGGTTATATCACTGCAATCTATCATTTATGGGAAATGGTATTTAAAGAGAAAAAAATCCTGAAACATTATACCCCTAAAATGTTCCAAACGGGACACTAACTGATGTGTAGAAATGTGATATCTTAAAGCCGCTTTAAGATTTGTCTGTGTACTAGATACTAGAGAAAGCAGAGCAGCTCAAGTTGATATTTGTTACATAGAATGTTTTTCTGCCACAGTTTTTTTTTGGTCATTAAATGGTGGACATGCAGTGGAGAAGCAGTTTGTTTATTTTTATGTTCTATGTTTTTCATGTTTTTGTTTTTCCTGTTTGTGTCCTTTCTTTTTTCTGTAACCTATATAACTAAAAACAAAATAAAATCAGCATAAGCTCTTGCAGGAAAGCTGGAGAGAGGGGTAAAGGGGTTGGTCCAGTGACGTGATTACATCACTGCTCTCCATGATGGGGGTGGTCAGCCCGTGTTACTGGCAGATCATTCTGGCGAATATGCGTGCCAGGCTGCTTATCAATCATGCAGGCCAGCTGACTTAGAGCAGACCATGAAGGGATCACTGTGTTAGTGGCTCTGCAGGCTACTACAGCCATTTTTGCAGACAATCACATCTAGTGAAGAGCTCACACTACACAGTTTGGGGACAATTCCCTGGTGTTCCCAAAAATATGGTAACCACCTGATGCAGCACAGAGCCGTGAGTTCTGGAAGTCCCTCATTTGGATTAGTGTCATCCATGACAGTTAGGTGGCAAGCAGGCTGCTGGCTTCAGGTCTTGGCACAAATGGGATTATGTTAGCCGGGTCCCACTCTTGTGTGTGGCTTGGGTCCGCCTGGGCAGTCGTCACATCCCCTATGCCCAGTGCAGAGAGGAACGTATGTATGGCAGTCCCTGTAGTGAGTTTGTGCATGGTGCCATTGTGAAAGACGTGAAGGGATCTCGGTGTTCCCCACCTGTAGGTCACTCCTGCGGTGCGTAGTCAGGTGGTGAGTTCAGGGATTTCCGCCATTGCAGCGTTGCCTTTGATAAGTCCTGATAAAAAAACAGTTGGGAGTCCTCAAATGTCAGTGGGGTCTTGCTCCTCACCGCTGCCATGATGTGCCCTTTGTCTTGGGGTAGTGAGCAGCGAAGTATTACGTCCCCAGCAGTATTACGTCCCCAGCCGCCCTAAACCCAGGACCACCCGCATCCAATTAAAAAAAGAAAAATGTGAATCACCTGCCTTTGGCTGGGGACTCTGATTTTTCAATTTACCTCACTCTCCCTGCAGCCTGCAGCCAGTGGAGTCGGCAAGTCCCTCCTGATGATGTCAGGAGGAGGGGGCGTGAGTTCCACTGCTCTTTTCACAGGATCGCTGGGGAGTCTGGGAAAAGAGCAGAGGAAGTGACGCCCCCTCCTCCTGACATCATCAGGAGAGACCGACTTCACTGACTGCTGTATGCTAGCTCTTGGCTCCTGCGTGGTTCTGTGATTGGGGGGCATGGGGCTGAGGAAGGGGGAAGGGGGATATACTTTAGTTTTTTGTTTTTTGGATCTGTCTGTAATAACGTATATGATCCTAAGCTTGTATGCGACTTGAGCGGGAATTAACTCAATGGCAAGCTATTACATTCTATTATGTTTTTACCTGTTCTTGATATTCTCACAAACTCTGTTTATGGTTTTCCAATTGAATGAATTCAATGTTTCATTGCAATTAGAATTTTTTAGATACAAGCTACCTCTCTCTGATGTCTCAGAGGGCCTGGCAACTCGGCAAAGATAAGTAAGCAACATTCATTGATATATAGGAAGATATCATACAATACTGGTATGCTTTAATTAATGCAGACAGAAGACCTAAAAAACCACAGCAGAAAGGCAAACAAATACTCCAGGGATACTTTTTATTTTATTTTCAAATCTGTAAAGAAAGAATGAATCACACAGCAGATTATTAATTTAGAACATTGGGAATAACTCAATGTGCATTTCATTCCTTAATGTTCCAAACTAGTTAATGAGCAAGCTAGATGTATATTTTAAAGGAACCTACACAAGTATATTTCACACAGATGGATTTTAAAGTGGTTTATAAATGTAGTATCAGTTTAAATGTAATGAATGAAACAAATCTGCAAAGATTATACGTGTTTTGTGGTGAATACAAACAAGAGTGTGTTGCAGCTACCTGACATTTATTCATTTGTTTATTTAAACATATTTATAGCACACGCTTATGCACAGTACTCTTCATAGTAGAATAATTATTTAATGAAGTTATAGATAAAGGGACCAATCTCCAAGTAAGCTATACACTTAAAACAAATTGATTGCAAAGAGAAATTTTACAACAAAGCCCGCTGCCCAGTTCATTTGCTCTTATTAATATTGCAAGACGGCTGACTCACAGGGTTAAATAGAGCTCTGTGAACATGTGTGAGTGTATGCCGACAGGCCGAATGTTACCTGGAGGACAAGGCAGACACACTGTACTAGAGCACATCTACCACTTCCGTTTGCTCTCTGTTGCTAACGGAGTCGGGCAGAAAAGCAGGACAAGAGTCACTGGAAGGCAGGTGATTCTGCAATTAGGTATAAACATGCAAAATAGAAATCAGCACATTTATGCATTATAATAAAGGGGAGATGCTTTATGTGTTTGTAGATGCCATTTGTCTGTAGATTGTACCTTTACAGAATGAACCAGAGGGACCCAAATCCCATGACTCATAACTGCAATCACTTCTACCCTCATTCTTATATTGCAGATTTTCCTCAAATCAAAAGACAAAAGATGCTCAGCTCTCTCACTGATAATGAAAATAACTTTACTGCTAGGTCCCACTGTTGTCAGTGGGATGTTCTTTTACTGAGAGCACCCTTGGTACTGATTGAATGCTCCTTGATAGCTGACAATTTAAAAATAGCTTTGAAGGAGCATTGCATAATGGTGACCACCATCAAGAGTGCCCTCGGGGTCAGTGCAAGACTGCTTAACTTAGTGCATTTTCACCATATGAGAGATAGCAGAATAAAATAAGTAAAGTTTATATTGACCTAACCTGAAACCAAATTAATAAACCATCTTCCCATCACAAATGTACTGATTGACTGATAAATATTGGGATTTTCAAAATTCTTCAAGTCAACTATGCTTTCAGATCATCTGATTAGGCCAAAATTTTAAATTCAATTGGGGTTAACAAGACAAAATATGTTGCAAAATATAGATTGCAACGGGTAGCAGAGCTTAGCGTCTGAGCCGAACTAATGCCATCTATCATGGCTCCGGACATCTGTCACCTAATCATCTCAAATCTGGGGTGCCGAGTCTCCATCAGAGCAATAGCCTGCGTCCAACATTAACAGGAGAGGGTTAGCAACAGACCCATGCCTTTCTTGTACCTGAAATGGAACTGGGGCCATCCCACTGGACCTGGAGTCCGAGATTGTGCAGCTGTATAGGTCCCCTTGGCTGCTTGATAACCCCTATCTGCACACAGACACCATGGGGCGCAGATCCCAGAAGTCACAGCCTTGCTCCAGCAGAGATTCTCGCGATATTGGTGCAATGTTACAATGACCAGCAGCCTCCAAGATGGCGGCTCGGTCAGACAGCGGTATGAAAAAGGCAGATTCCCAAGCAGATCCGACTGTATCTGGGGACATGACCTCCCCCACAACACTCCTAGAGGAAATGGCAGAACAAGACCTGCTAGCTTCAGCTGCTAAACAAGATATTGCCAACCTCTTAAGGGAGTTCAGACAGATGTCTGGCAGATCTGTACATAGTCTGAACCGAAGTGCAGATTATGACAGCCTGCAGGCAAGCTACAGAGGAAGATGTCCTGGATCTCAAGCGAGAGGTACAAGGGCTGAAAGAACAAATGCAAAGCCTGCAACACTCTCATACTTCCCTGATACAGCGGGTAGATATTATTGAAGACCGCAACAGATGCGCCAATATTAAAATCCAAGGCATGCCGGACTCAATTGGCCTGGCCGAATTGCCACACTACTTGAGGCGCTTGACAGAAACTCCCCTACCTCACTCTCAGGCTAAAGAGCTTGTTTGACGGCTGCCACAGGATCAACAAATCCAGACAGACCCCGTCCGATGCCACCCACAACATAATAGTACAATGTCATTACCTGTCAGACAAGAACTGCATTCTGGCAGCAGTAAAGGGTTAAAACCCCATTTGACTTTGAGGCTTCCAAGCTGACATTTTTTCAAGAGCTCACCAGGAATACCCTGCAATGGTGGAAGTCCCTCAGCATAGTCACGGGTCAGTTGAGAGAAGCTGCAGCAACTTAAGCCACCTTCAGTGCCAAATGCTTTGTTTTCTTGTTAAGTTGTCTAGTTGTAAATTTACTTTTTTCTCTTATGCAGCTCGCAGGCTGAAGTTAGTTCATACCCAACTAGGCCTAGCCTAAACACACAATTGGCGCTCCATGATGGCTCATAACAGCCACGATAGAACTCTTGATCCTTGAGAATGTTCTCTACTCCCCTCCTCCCCATGTCTCCCTTGGTTAGGGGTTATTAATCTATTCATTATCATAGACTACAAGTACCTAGTAAAACAACAGAGATGTCATTCATGATAGCGCCAGACCCGCCTACACATAAATAGGACACACTACCTGGCCACGTTGGTCGGATCAAAGATTTGACTGTTACAGTTAATCTAAGTTTAAATCTTTCTCAACATTTCTTATTTCATTCACTCTGTTTAACCTTACCAACCACCTACAAGGTACCTACATCTGACACGAACAGCCATTAGATGCAAATCGTACCGCCCAGATCCAACTGATGCACACAAAAAAAGTAAAAGAGGCTTGCTAATGTGGAATGCTTAAAATTGTTGATATTGCAAATCTGTGTTGCTCCTTTACTTCTACTCTGATATCTGTATGCCTCAATAAAGCAAAGATTGACTATACAATTTATGTTTAAAAAAATTTATTATTCTTACTTATATAACAGAAAAAAATACATATCTGCTCTTCAACAGTGTGCTATGTATGCATACTGACTCTGTATTATTTTTATAATTTATTTTGTACGTCTATTCTTTTGATTCCTTTTGACGTTTGTTTATTGTGTTTGCTTACTATTTGTATTCTATGGAAAGTAAACCGTACTTTGAAAATATGAAGTCTTGTGAACATTGTTGGTCCTTCTGCTTATGTCTGTGCAGAAAATGTTTATTTTTCCAGTATATGCTGTAATGCTGATAAAACCTACCATGCATTCAGAAGTACTGAAATCAGAAATGAGAAGTACTTTGTTTAGTGTCAGAAAGTATGTTAAGCACAAAGAAATTTGGTCGTTGGTGAAATGATGATGTTAAAGTCTTTTCTTCCCCAGTTGACTTGAATATATGTATGTATTCCATTGTTACTGTAGGTTTCAATAAAGAATAGTTTTAATCCAGCCTTGAAGTATGTATGTGATTGTGAACTACTTACTACATAGTTGTAGAGATTGTAAAATGAATCTGAAATAGAGTTGAGCTAACCAGAACTGTAAAGTTCGGGTTCGTACTGAATATTACGATTTCTTGACCCCGAACATTTCAGTAACAGTTCGGGTTCGAGTTCAGTGTTCAGCGATTTGATGGCTCGTTTTGAAAAGCTGCAGGGCAGCCAATCAACAAGCGTTTGACTTGTGTGCCCTTAGAAGCCATCACAGCCATGTCTACTAATGGCATGGCTGTGATTGGCCAGTCACATGAGCTCTTATTAGTGTAGGGAGAGGATGCTGCAGCTGTGAGGGACAGATTAGGAAAGAATTCTGGTGTTGAATCTGCAAACTACAGCAATTATTTTTGTGGGTGCTATATTATATTTTTGTACCCTGCTCTGTGCACAGTGTCACAGAGAAATAAGCAGTCTGTTTGTTATGTGGGCACTTGCAACTGCATTACTTTAATCCTGTTCTGGTAGCTCAGTGGCCAACATCTAGGCATTTTTAAATACTGCTGCGACATTGCAGTTTGACAAACTCAAATTTTTTTGGTGCTAAAAAGTAAATTTGGGGCGTGCACTTCATATCTGAGAGTGAAATAGAACCGTCAAATACTGTGGTTATATTGCACTTTGAAAAATTCAAATTTTTTGGGTCCTAAAAATTACATTTGGGGCGTGCACTTCATATCTGAGAGTCAAATAGAACCGTTAAATACTGTGGTTACATTGCACTTTGAAAAATTCAAATTTTTTTGGTGCTAAATAGTACATTTGCGGCCTTTGGTGCATTTCTTGCAGTCCAATAAAACCGTTAAATACTACTGTTACATTGTTGTTTGACAAATTCATATTTTTTTGAGACAGTAACTGTAACTGTATTAATTACGCCTGTCACACTGTTGTGTGACCTCTAGAAATTTTTTCTCTTTAGGACACCAACACTGCCTTACTGTCAGTGAACTTAATTGTTGACTTTTGGCGGTTACATTGTCGCCTGACATAAACCATCTGTTAGTTTGGTGGGTGAATGCAAAGAATGAGTAGAGCGTCAAATAAGGGACGTGACCCTGGTCATGGTGCTGCTGGTGTTGGTGCAGTGCCTGTTGCAGGGAGAGGACGTGGTTGATCTGTGCCAGCTACACGCACAAGTGAAACACCTTCCTCAGGTGCGAGTAGGCGACAGAACCTTCAGTGTTATTTGGTAGGCCCAAATGCCGCTGTACGAATGGTGAGGCCAGAACAAGTACAGGCGATAGTAGATTGGAGGGCTGACAGTGCCTCCAGTTCCTTCACATTGTCTCCCACCCAGTCCCCTACTGAAAGCTCAGAGTTGGCACCTGCAGCCCATGGCCATCTCTCTTTTACCTCACCCCCTTGCAAATCAGCCAAGCAGTCTGAGCCACAAGTCATGCAGCAGTCTCTTATGCTTTTTGATGACTCTGCTGGCGGGGTTTCCATGGGCCATCCACCTAGCCCTGCCCCAGAAGTGGAAGAGATTGAGTGTACTGATGCACAACCACTTATGTTTCAGGATGTGGACATGCGAGGACCACCACAGTACGTCTCTGATGATGACGAAAAACAGGTGCCAACTGCTGTGGCTTTCTGCAGTGTGCAGACCCACAAGGAGGGCAGGGTTGAGGAGTGGGTGGAAGATGATGTGGAGGATGATGAGGTCCTAGACCCCACATGGAATCAAGGTGACGTGTGCAGTTTGGAGGAAGAGGCGGTGGTCGAACAGAGGCACCAGCACAGCATAAAAGGGAGCAGGGTGCAAATGTGGAGCGGCCGTCCCATAGACAGTACGCCTGCTACTGATCACTGCACCCAGGGACCGAGCACACCAAAGCCAGCTCCAAGGAGTTCCCTGGCGTAGCAGTTCTTCAGACAATGTGCTGACGACAAGACACGAGTGGTTTGCAGGCTGTGCAATCAGAGCCTGAAGCGAGGCATAAACGTTCTAAACCTGAGCACAACCTGCATGACCAGGCATCTACATGCAAAGCATGAGCTGCAGTGGAGTAAGCACCTCAAAAACCAAGAAAGGTCTCAGGCTCCTCCTGCTTCCTCTTTTGCTGCTGTCTCTGCCTCTTCCTCCACCTCTGGAGTCACAGTGGCACCTGCCACCCTGCAAACAGAGGATGTGGTAGCAACGCCACCACATCCGCCATCGTCCCAAAGCATCTCCACACTGTCCCATGGAAGCGTTCAGCTGTCCATCTCCCAAACACTGGAGAGAAAGAGGAAGAAGCCCCATACCCACCCGCGATCCCTGGCCCTGAATGCCAGCATGTCAAAATTCCTGGCCTTTGAAATGCTGTCATTCCGTCTGGTGGAGATGGACAGTTTTAAAAACCTGATGGCGGTGGCTGTCCCACAGTACGTGTTTCCCAGCCATCACTACTTTTCCAGGCGAGCCATCCCTTCCCTGCACAACCAATTGGCGGACAAAATCAGGTGTGCACTGCGCAATGCCATCTGTGGCAAGGTCCACATAACCGCTGATACGTGGACTAGTAAGCACGGGCAGGGATGCCATATCTCCCTAACTGCACACTGGGCAAATGTAGTGGCGGCTGGGCCTGAGGCGGATGGCAGTTTGGCGCATGTCCTTCCGCCACCGAGGATTGCAGGGCATTTCTCTTTGCCTCCTGTTGCCTCCTCGTCTTCCTCCTCCTCTACCACCTCCTCATTTGGTCAGCGTAACACCTTCACCACCAACTTCAGCACAGCCAGGGGGAAACGACAGCAGGCTGTTTTAAAACTCATATGTTTGGGGGAAAAACCCCACACTGCGCAGGTGCTGTGGACGGGCATGGAACAACTGAGCCTCAAGCCCAGCCTGGTGGTGTGCGATAATGGGCGAAGTCTCGTAGCAGCTCTGGGCCTAGCCGGTTTGACATACATCCCTTGCCTGGCGCATGTGCTGAATTTGGTGTTGCAGAAATTCCTGAAAAACTACCCAGATATATCAGAGCTGCTGCAGAAAGTGCGCGCTTTTGGCGTTCTCACTCTGCTGCTGCTCGCCTGTCTGTGCTGCAGCGTAACTTCGGCCTTCCCGCTCACCGCCTTATATACGACGTGCACACAAGGTGGAACTCCACCTTGCACATGCTGGAGAGACTGTGCGAGCAGCAGCAGGCGATAGTGGAGTTTTAGCTGCAGCACGCACGGGTCAGTCACTCTGCGGAACAGCACCACTTAACCACCAATGAGTGGGCCTCCATGCGAAACCTGTGTGCCATGTTGCGCTGTTTCGAGTACTCCACCAACATGGCCAGTGCCGATGATGCCGTTCTCAGCCTTACTATCCCGCTTCTATGTCTCCTTGAAAAAACGCTTCACACGATGATGGAAGAGGATGAGGGGTCATTTCCACGGTTATCAGGCCAGTCATTCACAAGTGGCTCGGAGGGTGGGTTCCTGCACCAGCATAGGCCAGGTACACAATTGTCCAGCCAGGGCACAGTTCTAGAGGATGAGGAGGAGGATCCATGTTCACAGCAGGGTGGCACCCAATTCAGCTCGTGGGCATCACTGGAGCGTGGCTAGGGGGATACAGAGGACACAGACAATACACCTCCCACAGAGGACAGCTTGTCCTTGCCTCTGAGCAGCCTGGCACACATGAGCGACTACATGCTGCAGTGCCTGCGCAATGACTGCCAAGTTGCCCACATTCTAACTTGTGCTGATTACTGGGTGGCCACCCTGCTGGATCCCCGTTACAAGGACAATGTGCCATCCTTTATTCCCTCACTGGAGCGTGATCGGAAGATGCGCAACTACAAGTGCACGCTGGTAGACGCGCTGCTGAGGGCATTCCCAACTGACACTGGGGGCATTCCCAACTGAGCACAAAGCGAAGGCAGAGGAGGAGGTCGCCAATGCAGCTGGGGCACCGCCAGCACCTCAGAAGGCAGGGTTAGCATGGCCAAAATGTGGAAAAGCTTTATCAGCACGCCACAACAACCAGCACCACCAGCTGATATGGAACGTCTTAGCAGGAGGCAGCATTTCAGCAACATGGTGGAACAGTATGTGTGCATACGCCTACACGTACTAACTGATGGGTCTGCCCCAGTCAGCTTCTGGGTCTCCAAATTGGGCACATGGCCTGAGCTTGCCCTTTATGCCTTGTATTGTCTGAATGTGTGTTTAGCATGACAGGGGGCGTTATCACAGACAAGCGCAGCCGCCTGTCCACAGCTAACGTGGACAAGCTCATGTTTATTAAAATGAACCAGGCATGGATCCCACCAGACTTGTCTATACCTTGTGCAGAATAGACATTTATACCGGCCTCACTCAGCCATTGTTATACTCAAGTGCACTTATTCTTTGTTTTCTTTTTTTATATGTCCCAATATTTGGGGGGGGGGCTACCGCAATTAAAAAAACAAAACAAAAAAACCCCAAACAAATGAAAAACAGTGTTGGCTACCTCCTCCTCCTCCACCACCGCTTCCACCTACACCACCACGGTCACCGCCTCCTCAACCTCTTACTCCACATCCTCCTCCTCCTCCTAGTTCAAGATTATTATTTTTAATTTGTAGGTATTTTATGTTATTTTAAGTTATTTCCCTATCCACATTTGTTTGTGGGGCACTTGTCCTACTTTTACCCCCATTTTACTTCCTTTTGCAGCCCTCTAGCCCTTTCCAGGACTTTTTAGAGCCATTTTAGTGCCCAAAAGTTTGGATCCCCATTGACTTCAATGGGGTTCAGGTCAAGTTCGAGTCCCCCACTCAAACTTTTTGCCAAAGTTCGGCCGAAAAAGGCGAACCCGAACATCCAGGTGTCCGCTCAACTCTAATCTTATATAACTGACTTTGAGTAATTTTGCAGAGGAGGAATAGAAGAATTTTTTTTTAAAAAAAAAGGTACATTTATTTACACTGAACAAAATTATATATCATGAGCTGAACTCAAAGATCTAAGACTTTTTCTATGTACACAAAAGGCATATTTCTCTCAAATATTGTTCACAAATCTGTTTTAGTGAGCACTTCTCCTTTGCTGAGATAATCCATCCACCTCACAGGTGTGGCATATCAAGATGCTGATTAGACAGCATGATTATTGCACAGGTGTACTTAGGCTGGACACAATAAAAGGCAACTCTAAAATGTGCAGTTTTACTGTATTGGGGGGGACCTGATGGGCTCTGGGGGGGGTCCAAAAACCAGTCAATATCTGGTGTGATCACCATTTGCCTCACGCAGTGCAACACATCTCCTTCGCATAGAGTTGACCAGGTTGTTGATTGTGGTCTGTGGAATGTTGGTCCACTCCTCTTCAATGGCTTTGCGAAGTTGCTGGATATTGGCAGGACCTGGAACACACTGTGGTATATGCCGATCCAGAGTATCCCAAACATGCTCAATGGGTGACATGTCCAGTGAGTATGGCGGCCATGCAAGAACTGTGATGTTTTCAGCTTCCAGGAATTGTGTACAGATCCTTGCAACATGGGGCCGTGCATTATCATGCTGCAACATGAGGTGATGGTCGTGGATGAATAGCACAACAATGGGCTTCAGGATCTCGTCATGGTATCCCTGTGCATTTAAAATGCCATCAATAAAATGCACATGTGTTCATTGTCCATAACATACACCTGCCCATACCATGACCCCACCGCCACCATGGGCCACTGGATCCACAACATTGACATCAGCGAACCACTCACCCACACGACGCCATACACGCTGTCTGCCATCTGCCATGTACAGTGAAAACAGGGATTCACCCATGAAGAGAACACCTCTCCAAAGTGCCAGACGCCATTGAATGTGAGCATTTGCCCTCTTAAGTCGGTTACGATGACGAACTGCAGTCAGGTTGATACCCCGATGAGGACCACAAGCATGCAGGTGAGCTTCCCTGAGATGGTTTCTGACGGTCTGTGCAGAAATTCTTTGGTTATGCAAACCAATTGTGGCAGCAGCTGTCTGAGTAGTTGGTCTGAGATGATATTAAAGGTTAAGATGCTGGATGTGGAGGTCCTGGGCTGGTGTGGTTACATGTGGTCTGCGGTTGTGAGGCCAGTTGGTTGTACTTCCAAATTCTCTAAAAAACGCCTTTGGAGATGGCTTATGGTAGAGAAATGCACAGTCACACATGTCTACCTAAATATTGGAAGTCTAAACATACACCCTCTATCAAGGAAGTACTGACACTAACATTAGAAAACAAAGCATACGAACTATCACATAGAAATAACACACACATTTTTGCACAATTAAAACACCACTGGGATCAATGGGAAACCGATGTCAAAAAAACACATAACCTGTAATAACTTGTAATGTTTTGTTATTCAACTCAAGTGCCAAATTTACTGTTATAATGGATGGATACCCCCCCATTTTTCTCCCCCATTTCCCAGTTTTTACCCTTCCTTTCCCTTCCCTAATACATTGTTCTTTATTATTTGTAAATTCTGCAAAAATAAATTCAATAAAAATTATTTGAAAAGAAATGCACAGTCAATTCATGGGCAACAGCTCTGGTGGACATCCCTGCAGTCAGCATGCCAATTGCACGCTCCCTCAAAACTTGCAACATCTGTAACATTGTGCTGTGTGATAAAACTGCACATTTTAGATAATTTCAGTTCAGTGTATATCTGTTAATTTAGACAATGGCCTTTACAGTATTTATCTATTCATTTCATTTTAAATCATTAAGAATATTACAACTAAATTCAAATATGCCTATATTTGTGATGGACAGAATTATTACATGTAACATCCAACTGCGTTATACACAGGGAAGGAAAGCACAGCACGTATTGACGAGGGGATTTGGGACCCATTGGTGTATTCCAAACTCCCAGCTTGCAGTTAGAACAATGAGGATGTGGAATTCTCTGCCTAAAGAGGTGGTTTTATCAGTCTATACAGGTGTTTAAACATCAATTGGATAAATACTTGCAAAAACACAATATACAGGGATATCATTTGTAATTAGTGGTGTAATCCAAGGAGAGGTCCGACTGCTATTCTGGGGTCAAGAAATAATTTTTTCCTAGTTTGTTGCAAACTAAGATGCGCTTCAGACTAGGTTTTTTGCCTTCTTTGTGCAACAGCAAAAACAAATGTGAGAAAGGCTGAACTTGATAGGCGTATTTCTCTTTTCCGCTATGTAACTATGTAACAGTTCAAGTGACGGGAGAGGATTTGTCAACTTTCTTCTGGTAAGTCACATATTCTGAGGACCCCTGAATTCATAAGCATTATATAGTCAGTTTCATCAGTCAAGGAAATTAAATATACTTTTAGTTTCAATGTATTGCCTCTGCAATAAATATGTAATCAGATGTTAAAAGCAATAAATACTAGGTATTATGGGGAAGTTTTATCAAGGTGCTGTAGTTTTGTACCTTTTTTTTAGTATTTTTTTTCATATTTTGGATAAATTTATTACATCTTTTGGGTTTCTTCATCAGCTGTTTCCTTTGTGCCTTAATCTTCATTTTCGAATATATGCTATTTTTGGTAAAACAATTGATTTAATCTTTCTGTCGCTTTTATTGCCAAAATAGTGTTTTGTTCCACTTTTCTCTATTCTGGCAGTCTTTACTGAAAGGACTTTTCTGCAAAAAAAAATGACAGCATTCAGGCAAAGAATAGCCAACACTTTTTAGACCAGTTTTAGAATAATTTCATTTAAAAAAATAAAAAGATTAAAGTCCTATAATGAACAACACTTTTCACTTTTCCTTGATAAACCTTCCCCTATTTATAATTTAATGGATGTTACAGCATTTTTTAAATGAATAAACAGAGAACGTATAAATCTAGCTTCTTCTGGAAATAAAACAACAATAGAGGATAAAGCCTAACAATACACATTTATTAAAATACCTCTTACCCACAACATGTGGATGAGGAGGATGGCTTGACCTCTTTGTGGATTTCTAATGATAATGCATGCAAACCACTACACATGGGCCTTACAATGAGGTCCCAATAAAAAGGGCAATGGGATATGTGAACAGTCCAGCTATGTCCCCCTGAGTTCTGGAAACCCCACTTTATTTTTTGTGTCTCCCCTACACAGGGCCAGATTAAGAGCCCAGTGGGCCTGGTGCTGACAATTATGACGGGCCTAATTACAGAGTCATATCGACCAAAAACAGTAAAACACTCCAAAGCATCATGTATCTGATGGAGATGGTGCTGGAGAGAAAGAAAACAGCAGCTATAAGAAAACTCATACCCTAGGCTAATCTTTCTCTAATTTATGTTTTCATCTTTCAAGTAAATCCATAACCCTTAACAGCAGTGTCCAGTCAGGCAGGAAGTCAATGGGCATGGTAAAAGGGTGTGCCACTGACACAAATCACGTAACCTGCCAAAAGGGACGAACATGCCCAAAAAGAGGACATGTCTGCTCAAAGAATTAGAAGGCCAGCCTGGCATGAATGCATGTGAGGCTGCCTGCCAATCATGCAGCTGGCCAACTAAGGGCATACTATGCAGACAGCACCCTGAGCTTGGCATAAATGCATCTAATGATGCGCTCACTCAACGCTTTCTAAGGACTGTCCCCTAGCACTCGCTGGTCCACTTGTCTCCTAACCTTCTTACTAGCAAGCAGAAGCTCCTGGTATATGGTCTGGGACAGAGAAAAGCTGTATGTAGTGAGTGTAGAAGAAAGGGAACATGCCACAGTGTTAGAGAGACCAAAGTCAGCATTACCTTAAAGGATCACTATAGGGTCAGGAACACAAACATGAATTCATAACCCTATAGTGTTAACACCACCATCTAGCTCCCCTGGGCCCCTCATGCCTCCATAAATATAGCAAAATCCTACTATATTCAAGCCTGAAGCTGTAACTCTGCATGCTGTTAGACTCATAAAAACAAGCAGTCTGCTGACATCATTAGAAGTGGTGGCCTGATCCAATCACAGTGCTTCCCCAAAGGATTGGCTGAGACTGACAAAGAGGCAGATCAGGGGCAGAGCCAGCATGATTCAAACACGGCCCTGGACAATCAGCATCTCCTCATATAGATGAATTTAATTAATGAATCTCTATGAGGAAAGTTCAGTGTCTGCATGCAGAAGGAGGAGACACTGAATGTTTGGATGCATTTTAGGCAGCCATGACCCAGGAAGGATCTCTAACAGTCATCTAAGGAGTGGCCAGTGAAGTTATCACTAGGATGTAATGTAAACACAGCATTTTCTCTGAAAAGACCGTGCTTAAAGCAAAAAGACTGATGGTAATGATTCTACTCACCAGAACAAATTCAATAAGCTGTTGTGAGGAACTGACTCTGCTGGGTTTCGAACCCTGGTTTACATGGTGCTAAACCTTTTCCTTACCAGTACACCAGCCTGCCTTTTGCAAATTTACCTGAGATCTGATACTATTGCTTGTAGAGTCAAGGTTATCAGTGACAACTCACTTCAGCTGTGTCTGGTCAGGTGTCTGGTTCTTGGCCTATAAAAGCCACTTCCGTTCTCTGTACCTTTGCCAGATTATTGTGGTTCCTGTACTCTCTAATCCAGCGTGTTCCTGTTTCTCCTTCCTGTTGCTGAATTTGGACTGTTTTGACTTTGCTGCTTCTCCTTCCCACTGACCTCGGCTTGCCTCACTACGATTATCATCTTTCTGTTCCAGTCTCCCATCTCTGCTTAAGACCAGAAGGCCACTCAAGGCTCAGGGGCTCAACCACCTGGGTAACGAGTGGCTACCTCTGGCAGAAAACATTGCTGATCTGGCTACTGGACTCCAAAACTTTGTAACATCAATATCATTACAGCTGTATTTGTTCTGGTGACTATAGTGTTCCTTTAACTATATTCCTTGTCAGCCAGTCCACACAAGTTTTGTTCCCATACATCGCTCTTAAGTTTCCATACTTAAGTAAGAGTATGTGAAAAGTAGTTAGGGTTGCCACCTTTCTTGGAAAAACATACCGGCCTTACTAATTTGCATAATTAAATATGTGTGGGTGACATCACATGATGTAAATCACAAGGAGTGACATTAGAGAAAATGCTGTAAAATCACCAAAAAACTACTTAGTTTAAATCTGCTGTATAGATGGATTCCTCCCAGTGCCCCCATGACTCAGTGCCCCCATGTGTCGATTACTCCAGGTCTCAGTGTTCCTATGTATCAGTGTCTCAGTGCCCCATGTCTTCCAGTGTCCCCTAGTGTCGTATCCCCAGGTCTCCCAGTGATCCTATGTATCAATGTCTCAATGCCCCATGTCTCCCTGTGTCCCCATGTATCCCAGGGTCTCCATGTCACTAGGACACTAGGAAGACCGGAGACCTGGGGACACAGGGAGACCTAGGGACATGGAGACACCAGTGACACTGGGAGAGTAGGGGACTCTGGCTGGGACACATGGGGACAATGGAAAATAGGGGACACTTGAAGACATGGGGACACAGACACCAGGGACAAAGATACTAGAGACACTGGCTGGGGGACATGGGGACATTGGGGCACTGGGAGACATGGGGACACTGAGACACCAGGGTCACAGACACTAGGGACACTAGCTTGGGGACATTGTGACACTTGAGGCACTGAGAGACATGGAGGCACTAGGAGACATGGGGACAGTGAGACACTGGCAGACTGGGGGCACTAGGGGTCAGTGGGAGACTAGGGGGCACTGAGACACCAGGGACACTGGCTGGGAGACATGGGGACACTGTGTCCCCATGTCCCTGTGCCATAATGTCTCCCAATGTCCCTTAGTGTCTCAGTGTCTGTGCCATAATGTCTCCCAATGTCCCTTAGTGTCTCTGTGTCTGCCATAATGTCTCCCAATGTCCCTTAGTGTCTCAGTGTCTGCCATAATGTCTCACAATGTCCCTTAATGTCTCAGTGTCTGCCATAATGTCTCCCAATGTCCCTTAGTGTCTCAGTGTCTGCCATAATGTCTCCCAGTGCCCCTTAGTGTCTCAGTGTCTGCTATAATGTCTCCCAATGTCCCTTAGTGTCTCAGTGTCTGCCATAATGTCTCCCAATGTCCCTTAGTGTCTCAGTGTCCCCATGTCTCCTTGCAGCCTTTCCCCCATCCCTTACTTCCCTGAGCTATAGGCTGTCTCTGCAGGGTGGAAGTTGCTGTCTGGACTCTCTGTAGCTGCACCCCTGCAGATCAGTGAGTATAGATAGGCAGGGAGGGATATGCTGGAACTTCCTATCCCTGCCTGTCTCCACACACACAGCGACCCCTACTGGCCAGTGCTGGTATTGCAGAGTAATCTCCATTTATACTGAGAAAAATACCAGCATTTATATTGCCAGTATCACTGCAATATTTGCACCAGCCAGGCAGCCTCAAATACTGGCTGTGCCAATGAAATAAAATCCACGTGGAAGAGTAGTGTGTGAAAAAAATAAAAAAATAAACTTTTTTTTTTTTTTTAAATCAATGGGCCTATTCCATGGGCCTGGGCCTGGAGCTGCAGCTCCATCAGCCCCTATGTTAATCCGGCCCTGCCCCTACACATTACACATTTAGGGAGAAAGACAAATTTATCACAGTTTTTGTGATCCTCATTGACTTTATTATTGCAAACTTCCTGCAAATGGATAAGTAAGGATGAGTAGGCTGAACCTGACTCCCTTATATCTATTACAGGGCACTGTTTAATGTGTTTAGTTAATTATCTCCATGCTAAAATTATCCAGCTATAGGGACTTTCTATTCAATACCTCAGTGATGCTAAAATTCTGAAATCAATCCTTTAATTTGTCGCACTTGGTGAATTTAGAAAAATAGGTCTACAAATCATCTGTTAATAATAAATGCCAAAAAAACACTTAAGCAAACCAGCTATAATTGCAGAATTTTAATAAACAACTTTTAGGGTTTTTTTGTCATAAAAATAGTTTAGAAAAATAGTTTGGAAAGAACAGTATTGTTTTGTTTTTGCTAATTTAGCACAGGCCCGTTGAGTTTAAGAATATTCAAAAAAAAAAAAATGACAAAGATTCTAAAATATTAAGCTAGTTTTACAATGTCAGTCTTTTTAAAATTATTTTAATTTGTATTATGCATTCAGAAACCTACATACATGCATCCCAAACTGGATACAGATAAACACATATATAAAAATGACCTAGATACTTTGTCAGCTGAATAAAATTGACAAAGCTATAAATCCTATGACATTACCCAAAATAATATTTGTGAAAGCATGTATATACATATAAAATAAAAAACTAGATGGCACTAGTCAGTTTAAGAAAAAAATAACAAAATAATGGCTTTTCTTGATAAATTGGCTCCATGCTGATATTGAGAAAATATATTCTGAGTAGAACCTTAATACCCACATGCATATGTTTTACAAGGGTATAAAATATACTGGACCATAATTAAAAAAAAAAAATAGTATATGATCAATTTTAACCAAAACTTCAGGAATAAAAGGGATTCATGACATGTCACACATGTCATGTGTCCTTAAGGGGACATTGAAACTATAATGTCAGATTTTTTTAATAGTGTTTATGTGAGCACTGTGCCAGGATGTTTGGCCAAGGTTGTGTATTTTGATTCAATAGGAAAGAACATTTATCAAAATTTTCATAAGTGAACCTGCAAAAATCTTTGCACCAGATTCATCAACCAAGAAAATTTGAAGTGCTTTCAGTATCAATGTCTCCTTTAGGAGAGAAAAAAAACAATTTTCTTGGCTAGTGATGTAGGTAAGTTTAAAAGACAGTTAATATATAACAATCATGTTCTGAAAGATACCATAAACACTGTATTATATACTGCACGTTACAGCAAAATTCTACATGATTAAGCAGTAAAGTAAATGCTGGGTAGTTTTTTTTTTTGTTTTTTTTTCTAAAACTAGAATCCAGTGGGGGTAAAACTAGCAATGCACATTTATTTCATGTTCTGTTAGTGACATTCCAGTGATGTTCTTAATAATGCACTTTCCCTAGTATGTGGCATTCCATATTCTCAGGGTATATATGAGTCCAGAACATGTGATATATATATTGGGTGTCTAAGGAAAGATTTATGCAAGGGCCCTATTAAACTGGAGCGAGCTATAAAATCATGCATCCATCATGTGTCACCTGTTGACCTCAGGTGCAGGAATAGATCAATTCTAAAAGAAATCACGAACCTTTTTTGACTCAATTAAGGTTTAAGCTCCACGCAGCGACATTAAGGAGCCCTGTAGCGTTTGAAGAAATCTGTATTATTCAGGATTTGTTTTTATAATTCAGGTGATGGTGAAATATGACTTTCATCGTCCAATCTGGAGGGGGTGTGTATCGTTCCATGTGCCCACTGTCCTTTATCAGGCTTTGTATCTCAGCCCAGAGGAAAGGCTCCTTCGTTACAGCTGGTTGTACTTAGTAAGCTCTGATAACCTGTGAGAGAGACAGAGAAACCTCTTTAAACCGTGTTTGCAGTGTGCATTAGTGGGTATTTAGCATAAACAACATGTGGGTTAGCACGATTTAGAATTCTGAGTCACCAGCAGTAGGGATTGGCTGCAGGATGTGCAGAGCACTAATCTTGACACTGTGTCACCGCAGGTGTTGTACATTCAGTGCCAGAGAATTATCACAGTGTCATTATCTAGCATTCACACACAAACCCACATGGTGTGATATCATCCATGGAACTTCTTTATCAACAATTGGCTGGCTGAGGATTTTAAGAGTTGAAACTCAATAACTATTAGGAGTAATTATTTTGCAATCTTTGTGTCTAACAGCTCACCAGCTGAGAATAAAAAAAAAAAAAAAGATTTAAAAAATATGAAAATACAAAATACTACATTCACTAGATATGCACGTTTTAACGGGAAATCCATAAAATAATGAATACCATGACGTTTTAATTCAGCAGGCCAGTTAGAAACCAGATCCTCTGGTAAGATTTTTCGTGACCAGAGCTCCACAGTTACAAAGTTAATTGATACAGGTAATACTCTACATTGGGGCAAAAGTAAAATTAATTACTCCAGCTGCAAGACATTTTCTCTGCCATAGTAATTTATCTTTTGATTAGAGCCCCTTTGGGTTTCCATGGCAACAGTGCAATTAATTCCTGCAATGGCCAGAGCCCAATGCTCCCCAGTATGTGCATGGACCATGTACTTTGTTAAATTCTACAGAGACCCCAGTGACCAGATATTCTATGACCAGAGCTTCTTTCTTACGTTCTTCTGTGACCAGAGCTTTATGGTTATATTATATATATATATATATATATATAGCGCAACCTATAAAATAAATTTCTATAAAGACCATTCCCCACGATAACAAATTTGATATCTGCAGAGACCAGAGCTCCCTTTCTCTGCAGGAGAACTATTACATTAAACGAACACAATGGATTTAAACTCTGGCATGAAAATTAATAAAGATGTTTCTAATCACCTGTTTTATGTATTGTCTTGTTTAAAATAGAGATAAGAGAGAGGAGAGGGAAATGAAGAAAATAGAAGAAAAAAGAAAAGGAGGGAGAGAGAGAAAAAGATGTGTTGCATGCCCCCCTTCATTTCTCACTAACCGATTAAGGTTATTCAATATTCCATCTGCTAAATATAGGGCACCCTTCACTCACAGGCAGCAGCCTTTACCTTGTCTAATGTTTTCCATACTTTGCCATGAGATCACAAACTAGCAAACACTAAATCAAAACCCGAGGCTCAATGGGTCTTCAATAAAAGCCCCAAGGCCTATACATACAAGAAAAAAAAAGGAGAAAATTAAAACCATCACAGAGGGTCAATTCGCTTTAGACATTTGGACGATAGTTAAGTTATATAATGCCAAATAATTCGGTTCAGCTACAGCCAAAGTTCACGTTGTAATTAATTTGGATGGCTTGCACTAATGAGTAACATGATTGATAATATTGTGATAATAGACAGCCTGTCTGTCCCACGTTAGAAAATACCATTCTGTTAATGCAATTTCATGAAAGAGACCAGATTTTTTACTACACAGACAGAGCTGTGAATACATTGCAAGCTGTGAGCCTTGTGCATAATAACACCAGGTGTTAGAACTGTTATTACATGGCAGTTATTACATGACAGTGCGATAATCAATTGCTACATATTTATAATATTGTATAATAATATTCTATCTTAACACACATTGCATTTCTAACGTATTGAGGGTAATGAGACACTGGCAACAATTACATTTTTTTTTTTGATAAAAAACAAAACAAAAAAAAAACTCAAGTTCAGCTCATTAGAGATGGCTTTCACTAAATCTGTATATTTTGACCTTAATTTCGAAAATCGATTCTAAACTCACTCACTGTTTAGTAAATAAACCTTATACACGAGTCGGAAAGAATATTTTCTGGTATAAATAGTCTCAGGATAACAACTCAGATGGTCCTCAGGCAGCCAATTTAGCTGGCCTGAGTGTAATGGGAGATATGCTGCATAGTGCAGATAAGCAAATCGCATGCAATCCTTGCTCTAAGGTTAAAGGATGTAAATAAAAATGTCAATTTTGGACTCAACTCACCGAAATGGGGCCTTTTATATGTTTACTATTTCTCAATATACCTGTCATTAATCTCAATCTTGTTTTAATAGGGAACTATCTACTAAGCAGTGATGTGCTATACGTTTTAATATATTCATAATAATAATGAATGCCTACATGAAATAATTTATCTTTATCGATACAATATTTATAGCTGTTCAATGGTTATTTGATCATTTGATAAATATATCAGTTATTACATTCATCATGTGGAAGCGTTATATCGTTATCAGTAAATTGTTAGACTATTAGCAACTGTTTATTTACTGAGTTTCCAGTCCTGGAGACTTACTATTGACATGATCTATTGTTCCAGTGAGAATAATTGTTAGCTCATCACAACTCGTTGTTTAGTAAATCGACCTCAAAATAAACATTAGTCTCTGCTAAAAAGAAGGGGAAAAAAGCTAAGAAACTTGTAATGGGCTTAGACATCCCCTCCCCCTGAGCAAACAGGCCAGTTATCTGATTACCTGCTCATTTCCGATGTGTAAGAGCAGGTGCACTCATGAATATTTGGAGTGGAGAATCTGAGAAGGGGGTGTGAGCAGGGCTTAGGAGATATCTGCAGTAATGTATGATTTATATTAAATGTAATAAATAGTTTATGTTTATATTAGAAGAACAGTGTGACGTGGTAATTAACCCCTAATAGATCAATAGTGCAATTAAACTGTATATTGTAATAGATTCACTGCTGAATGGAATCTTGACTGCAACATTCTGAAAATGTTTGTTTAAATGATTTCAATAGCTCTAAATTCTAAATTTCTATTATTGATCAGTAACACACTCTCTGTCAGATCGGTGAGACGGTTAACCCTTTCAGTGCCTGTGTGAATAGTTGGATTCTCTGGCACATACATTTTTAGAATGTAAGCTCATTGAGCAGGGCCCACCACCTCTCTGTTCCTGTACGTCCAGTTGTCTGGTTACAATTACCTGTCTGTTAGTCCACCCATTGTACAGCGCTACGGAATCTGATGGCGCTATATAAATAATAAAAAAATAATAATAATAACATAAAGGGTCAATTTTCTGGGCCTTAAAACACTGTCTGGCCATGGGGTGTGCATTTAGTGGTCTCAGCCATCAGTCTGATAGGAAATATACTTGCACCGGGCAAGTGAACGTGATTAGCTGTAGAAGGCTGGACAGAGCGATGATTTATTGATTTAATAAGTTACGATGAATCCAGGCCACATTGTAAGCAAAGGGAATAATGAAGCTATGGGGATATTCATCTGATATGAAAAAAAAAGTACTTTTATGTTCCGCTGCCACATTGTTTAACTCACGTTACTGGAGAGAATTGCACTTATATAAACAAGATGTGCTGGGATCAAACTGAATTCTCTCGACATTCTCTCCGTGGGCTTTATTACCTAATGTCCATCAAATATATATATTAAAAAAAAAAAAACATTCACCCTGCATTTAGGAGTGATCATTATTTAGAATATTTTAGGGACTGATTATTTATGTTAGTAAAGAGTCGAATAATATTATTTAATATTCTGTCTGCTATATATCACTTTCATCTCATGCTGTCTGTCTGCTGTATATCTATCGAAATATATCTATGCTCACATTAGATCATCTATCTATCCACCGCCTGTCTGTCTGTCTGTCTGTCTTTATACTTGCAATATGTCATTTACTCATCCATGTCTGTCTGTTTGTCTCTATCTATCTATCTATCTATCTACAGCCTATCTATCCGTCCATCTGTCTGTCTGTCTGCATTAATACTTACAATATTTCATTTACTTATCCATGTTTGTTTGTTTGTCTGTCTGTCTCTCTCTATTTCTATATATATAATATGTCTGTCTGTCTGTCTTGATACTTACAATATGCCGTTTACTTATCCTATCTATCTATCTATCTATCTATCTATCTATCTATCTCTCTATCTATCTATCTATCTATCTATCTATCTACCAAGAAATATATACACGAGATAGACATGCAGACAGATCGATAGACAGGCATGGACAAGTAAATGCCATATTCTAAGTATGAGAGCTTCATTTATATAATTTACTTCTGTTCCGAGTTTTCTCCCACAAAATGCACCGAATCTTTATTAAACTCATTCTATTCGATTTATGTGACACATTATATTTTATGTATAGATGAGCCATCCATTGCCCCACACCTAGTCTGAGCAGGGCGAAACACTTTGTATCCCAAGTAGTGTTTCGGAAATGCAAAATAATTATAATGTTATTTACAAAAGTGAATTCAGAATGCATTTTAAATTTAAAGTGAAAAGAGACGAACTGGAGGGAAAAAAACAGCCATGCTTTGAGTCAAGTAACACCGGCGTTAAGTTTGAAATTTACTTGGAATTCTCACTTTCGTAAATAGCCGTTAGTACGTCGAAACATAGCCACGTGGTTTGCCTTTCGGGCGATCTGTTCTCTTTCTTTATTCTAAAAAAACAACGTTTCGACTGTTTAAATATTTCAACGTTCCTTTTAAAATGTATCAAAATGATAGAACGATCCAACAAAATAAACAACTATATATATTATTTACTATCTCCATGTTCAGTTAGTGAGCTGTCACATTTAATCAGTCTTGTATCTAATTAATCAAGCAAAGCCTGCCTTAATATACTTTGCTCGATTAATGCAGTGATACATATAATATATGTCACAGGTATTTTCATTGCATATACCGTATTTCTTGATTATTTTTTAAGCCAATCAGTAAGTATGAATGAGCTGGGACACGTGTTTAGGTATATATTCTAAAACCATGTGGCATATGTCCCTTTGTATTACACCTTGATTTATGCTTACAGAATATCATCTGAATGCTTAGAATAACCTGTCAAAAACCACTATACAATTTTATTCTTCAATCCTAAATTCCTAGTATGGAGATAATAAAATATCATAGATGTAACCTGCATCAAGCACTTTCTGCTGTACTGAGGGCACAATAATTCTACTTTATAACACAAATTAATATTCTACATTGAAAATTAACAAAAAATAAAACGTTTCATTAAAACCATACACTACATAACATGCTGCTACTTTAAACAGAAATAGAACCTCGTTTATTTACCAACAGTCTCCCTGTGCTGCGATCCCAAAATCGGTGTCGTTCTAGATCTTCCATCTCAGAAAACTATTTCAAATCAATCTAAACTCCTAAAGCAAGTGATGTTTGAGGGTTGTGCAATGCTAAAGATTGCCAGTAGAGGGCGACAGTCTGTTTACCTTTCCTGCAGTCTATAACCTGTAGCTGTTCTTCTTGAATGCAGAACTAATTGGGGTGTAAAGCATGAAGTTCTGAGTGACTGTAGCATTGCATTGCAATATAGCATAATAATTTTACAGCCACTTAGCTGAGCATAAAAACAATGCCAGTGTTTCCTATTTTGTGCAACTGTAACCTGGAATCTGAGGAATGTTTTGAAAATATATTAGGAGGTATGTCACAGCAGCCATTGGACTATTACCTGTGAAATTGGGGTGTCTGTGTCCATTATGTTCTCTTCCCTTCAGGGTTAGAAGCATGACAAATCTCTACACAGATATTTCTTGGTCAGGGTATTCTGCTACACAGGTAACTGATGGCAGGCTTCTAATTAAATGGAATGTACAGTTAGCGCATTCAATAATATGCTGAAAAAATTGACCCTCACTTGTACCTTCAATATTATGAATAAGCAATATTAATGTCTGTGCATTCAATAGCTGCAGATTGACTTTTTTATTGCTGTCTGTCTGTATATGTATTATCTATCTATCTATCTATCTATCTATCATATGTGTGGTATTGAGATAGATAAATGATAGATAGATAGATAAATGATAGATAGATAGATAGATAGATAGACACAGACTTATGGATATTTAAAACTATATATATTCTTCATTCAGCAATACATTTTACTTGTGCCCCAGTGTAAGTTGTATATAATAACCCATACATATCTATAAATATGTGAAATATATCAGCCCTGCATATTAACTAAATATTCTATAGAGAAATCTATAACAGCACTATTTATTTAAAAGCAATTTAAAAGCAATATATAGATCATACACTGTGTCCCCAGGGTATCCTCTAACCTGTAATCATTAATGGTAACTTGTCACAATGATGCTGAAAGCTAAACAACAAGGAGGAATAAAGTAATTGGCACGATTGCTATCATTGCATTTTATAATTTGATGACCTAGTGAAATTATATTTAAAATAATAATAATAATAAAATCTTTCTTAATGAATCGAGTTTATCTGATTAGGGATGTCTCTGTGTTTGTCTCTGTGCATTATTTTCCTTCAGGCTTTGGGACTGAGTGTGTTGTAGATTTATACATTCTTAGGGGGAACTCTCGGCTGATTTAAAGAAACCCCATACTTTGCCACCTGATCTCTGCAAACATCCTACCTGTCTCATTTGAAATCTGATGAGCACGATTGGCTCTTCAAATGCACTCAGAGCAGTGGGAAAAAGTGCACTATCTCCGACCTGCATCAAAACACAGCAGCCTTAAATTCTTTCCAGCTTAATGATAAAACAAATAAACTCGTTTATTTTATCAGCCACGTTGTCATGGACCCAATTTCCATTTATTTAACACAGCAGACGTTTTATTTTCTTTTTCTTTTTTTTTATAAAATGTAATTTAGGTGCCATCAAACTAAATATATAAAATACTGATATATAATTTAATTTAGCAGGTGATATAAATATATAAAACACTGATATATCATTTAATTTAGCAGGTGATATAAATATATAAAACCATGATATATCATTTAATTTAGCAGGTGATGTAAATATATAAAACACTGATATATCATTTAATTTAGCAGGTGATATAAATATATAAAACCATGATATATCATTTAATTTAGCAGGTGATGTAAATATATAAAACCATGATATATAATTTAATTTAGCAGCTGATATAAATATATAAAACACTGATATATCATTTAATTTAGCAGGTGATGTAAATATATAACACACTGCCATATCATTTAATCTACAGTACAGGTGATATAAGGCTAGGCAGCTTAAAAGTATAGTAACAGTACTACTAAGTTAAATAGATAATAAATATGAAGTGATAAAGTTTCTACTTTGTAAATGGTTTTAGTAATTTTATTCTATGGTTTGTTTTTGTTCAAGTGTCCATTAATAAGTCAAAATAATATAAATGAGCCAATGCTTTTCTTACAGACAATTTAGATTTGAAGACAATCACAAAATGCTTAGGCAAAAGTTAACCATGACATATTTATGAAAATAAAAACGAAGGTTAGAAAGATCAGCTACTCTATTTTTTTTTTATCATGTCTAAAAAGTGACTCGTCTGATGTCTGAGTATTTGAAGAAAATGGAGATGAAAAGAAAATTGATGGATAGGGCTGCCAAATGGGTATAAAAGGCTTAAAAGTTGGTAGATACTGTTGTTTTAAGCCTGAGTGGGTTAAGGCATTCCAGTGAGGGGAGTCTAGGGTTACACTGCAAAGGGTAAGTAGCAAAAAAAGAGAAATATCTGCCCATTTTACATGACAGGAACCAATAAGCTCCTACCAGTTGCTTCTGCAGTCTGGCCACCAAGATTGACGTGGAAGACACGTCAGATTGATCTGAACAAACTTCAAGCAGATAACTTGAGCAATTCAAGCCCTAATCGGATGAAGATCACCTTGAGCTTTTGTGTCGTGCATTTGAAGTTGCTGTTCAAACACTACAAGAGAGCAGATTTGGAAGGAAGTGCCTTCAGACTCCAGAACACTCCTCCCAGCTCAGCCCATTGGAGAAGCCTCTGTTCCCCTTCTCAGTCCATGTATCTCTGGGTTAAATCTGTCTGACTGCCTTTAACTCTGTGCAGAACCTTCCCTGGCTTTCCCCCCTTGCGGGATGGGTAAGAAACCTTTTAAAACTCACTTGGAAGATTGAGAAAACATTAGTAAGCATGAGGATAGAGAGTGCATGGGGTGGGATCTGACTCAGTAAGGGAGCACTTTCGTTTTACAGATTGAAAAATAACACAAGTCAGAAAGTCTAAGGCTCCCCTGCCTCTCCTGCATGTAACAGAGACATGTATATTTTGCAGTATTCCAGCCTACACCCTATCTAGAAGTATATGGATGTTTTGTTGCATTGTGCTTTAGAGATAGCCAGCTTGCTACAATGTATCAACAATGTATCGCCAGTGAGTTCTGTTATTCCATAAGTCAGTGAGTGGCCACTGATTTGCCAGATATTTGAGGAATGTGCATTTATTACAGTTGCTTTGCCAGAATTACCTTGTGATTGCCTGTCTGATTTTGATTCACCCTGCAGAGCAAGCTTATGGAGAAGTGAATCAGCTCGGGGGGATGTTTGTGAACGGAAGACCATTGCCCAATGCCATCAGACTGAGGATAGTGGAACTAGCCCAGCTGGGAATTAGACCGTGTGATATTAGCAGACAGTTACGTGTGTCTCATGGATGTGTGAGTAAAATCCTGGCCAGGTACAATGAGACTGGCTCCATCCTTCCAGGAGCTATTGGGGGAAGCAAGCCAAGAGTCACCACTCCCAATGTGGTGAAGCATATCAGGGACTACAAGCAAGGAGACCCAGGCATCTTTGCTTGGGAAATCAGAGACAGACTACTGGCTGACAACGTCTGTGACAAGTACAATGTGCCTTCTGTGAGCTCAATCAGCAGGATTTTAAGGAATAAAATTGGGAACCTGTCTCAGCCCAGTCAATATGAAAATTCCAAGCAGCAGTCATCACAAGCTTCCCTGCCTTATAATCACATCTATCAATACCCCTACCCTAACCCCATCTCACCTGGATCCACCAAGGTAGGGGGCCATCACCCAGGAGTGCATATGCCCAGTGGACATGTCAGCATTGCAAGATCCTGGCCATCAGCCCACTCTGTCAACAACATTTTGGGCATCCGTACCTTTATGGAACAAACAGGTGAGTTTGTGGAAAGTCATTATACCATGACTGCAGACTGGGTGATAACAGCCTTCTGTCAAGGTTGCGTATTCTCTCTCACACACACAGACACACACAGATACACAGATACACACATACACACACATACACACACAGACACACATAGACACACATAGATACATATACACACACATGTACACGCACACACACTGTCACTAGTACTCTTTCTATAGTCCAATAAATAAGATGTATCTATGGAACAATAAAAGGTATTTTGTTAGTGTCAGTTTGTGTCTATATTTGAATATATACTAAAAAAAAACAAAAACAAAAACAAAAAACAGGCTCATAAATGCAGAGTTCTAAAGCTAAAGAATTCAATCACCATGGGAACCGATGGAATGTTCCTGTGGCTTGTTTTGTTTATAGAACGTTGCCCTATGTTGCTATTTGCATATAATCTGCATATCAGGTAAATAAACGCATTATCTCATATGTATTAAGTGGTTACCGTACACATTTTAATATCTTCTCGTAGAAATGCTAAAAGTGGAAAGTGTGGACTATGTAAAAGACAGACACAAACTAGAATAGTACTACTCATAATAAAATAATACAAACAGTTTATTATTACAATACTGGTTAACAGAAGATAGTAATACATAAATTAAACACATCTCAGAAGCAATATAGGTTAACACATATTATGTCTCTAAAACATGTCATAAAACAACTTTGGCTACATTTTAAACTTAGCATTAAACTAATGTTAAACACTGTACAGGTGTTCTCTCATTTATCAATGCGTTATTAGCAGTAATTATTTAATTTGTAATATACACATTGTTTATTACATTTCGGGGTAAAACTAATATCACATAAATCATGTATCTAAGTGTGGTATTTGTTTGCTTGTTGTGGATTCACGTGGATTACTCACTAAATACCGAATTATAGTGAATTACAAAAGACGAACTGCAAAATGTAGGCTAAAATACACAATTCGGGTCATTTGGAGAATACATCAGCATACATTTTGAAATTCGGTTTCCAATTCAGTGGAATTCGGGTTCTAGTGAATATATGTATTATTTCTGAAGATTTCTTGTGCTTACTTTTCGCTTTTACCAGTAATAAAAGTGAAACCAACATTACCTAATGTGAATCTGGCCCAACCAGCCAGAGGTTTAATAAATTCTGGGTCATATTCACCCTTAACTGTGCTGTTTATAAACTTATCCGAAATATTAGAGAGGGTAAGTCAGCAAAATAGCTTTTTTTCTTTCTTTTTCTTTTTTGTCTCAGAGAGTTTGGCCTTTGGTTAGCAAGTCGCCTTTTTTAGTCGCCAGTACTTACAACTTAGTAAATACATCCCTTAGTAATTAGCATTGTAATGATTCGTTATGGTTGGCTTCAAAATTAAACGTTTCTTGAATTGTGAATTAAAAAAAAAGCTAGTTACTTGTCATAACATATAAATGTACAATGTGCCCACACGTCTATGTACTATGTTAAAGAATATACGTGTTCTCCATATACATACACATTTCATATATATATATATTGTGTGTGTATATGTAAAACACACACACACACACACACACACAGACACACACACACACACACACACACACACACATATATATATATATGTATGTATATGGAAGTATGTATATGTTTAAACAGTATCTAAATATTGTACTGGTTGATACATTTTTCAATTTTATCCATACTTTTACTTATGGTCAAGAGAACAATATAATGCCAACATTTAGTAGCATTAGTCATCTATGATATATGTATAAATTAAAATTATAAATAACAACAATATAACTAAGCAAATGTATAATTCAAATACATTTTTGCAATATTTGCAAGTTCCAGAATTTTACTCGCTGTCTATGAAAGGATCTGTTCTCAAAACAGTCAGTTTAACATTGTTGCAAAATATAGAAGGAACAGTTGAATAATTGTAAAATGAAAGTAGGAGACTTTTTGCAACTTGCAAATGTTAGTTTAAACTCTGGAAGTCTATACTGTCAGTTCCCCTTAATTTTCTGTTTACTAAAAGATGGTAATATTATTACCCCTAAAAAGCCAGTTATAATGTTTGTGTGAATCAGGCCATTAGTAATATTATTATGGTATGTTTATCATGTTATGATTTATTAAAAGGTAACTAACTCTGATGTATTCTGTTGGTTTAGGAGCCATTGCTGGAGCAGATACCTCTGTTTATTCTCCAAAAATGGAAGAGTGGGCAAGTGTCAATAGATCGGGTTTTTCTACCACCCAGAACATCAACTGCATTGATAAAAGTGCTGTGGATCCAGACATTAAATATTCACAGGTAACCTGCAATTCTTCTCTAACATATTATTTAACACCTGTATGACAAAGTGGGAGGAATTTTGCAATGCATGAAAAATAATATTGAAACCTTCAATTTGAATAATTTATCAGATAAACCTCTCATTTATTTATTTATCATTTTTAAAGTGTTAGTTTATTTCTTTTTAATGTATTTATTGTTGCAAATTCAAGGATCAGTGTAAAGATATGCCAAAAAGTTTCTGTAAATTGAAAATTTTCATTTCATTTTTTTTTTGTAACCTTTTCACCTGAAAGACAGGTGCAGATTTTTGGCACAAAGTGAAATATTTTTAATTTTTTTTTTTCTCCCATCCTCTTCATGTTGCAGCCTGCTTCAAGCCTGACATCAGTGGGGAGTTTTGTTCAAGCCTGTGCATACCCCTCTGCCAACCAGTATGGGGTTTATGGGGGACCAGGAACTGGCTACGTGACCCCAGGCCACCACTGGCAAGCACAAGGTAGCCCCATTGCTCATCATGGGCCGAGCGTGACTGTACACGGTGGAGACATTGCGTCCCCTATGACCTTCAAACACCAAGTCAGGGAAGGTATGAAAACAAGATGAAAAATGGGAGCTGTGTGCAGCTGCTCAGAGGAAACTGCCGGCTGGGGGGCAGTTACTGTGAGGTCGCTGGGTTTGGCAAAAAGAAACAACAGTGAGATTTTGAAGAAAGGGATGTGAGGGGGAAAGTATGGCCCTTTTTTCTGGATGGCTGTTTTATGACCTGGACAATTTATATTTGATGCATGAGGGTCTTCCTTTCACCGCAAAGATTTATAGATAGCAATCACTCACTGTCAAAAGCACCTTGAATGCTTTATTTTACCTTTTCCTTATGTTCCCTCCAATAGAGCATATTGATACCAACTTCTACTGAGAGAATAGCTGGGTTTAAATCGCATCTCTCTCCAAAATATATACGAAAAACTCAGAAGAGCTAAAAAAATAAATAATAAAAAATATATATTTTTATTTTGGTCTCAAATCCAAGTCATTATATATCACTTCATCTACTGCCCCATATTCTATCTATCTATCTATCTATCTATCTATCTATCTGTCTGTGTCTGTCTCTTGATTTAATTTGATCCTTAATTTAAGATTCAAACGTATTCTGAAAGGTGACTATGTTTAGTCGGTGGGTTAGAACAGGAAGTGATATATAACGCTGTAATAGTCTCTGTGACATTGTTGTTATAACAAAAAAAAAACACAAGTTGTAACAAAAACATTCGTTTTTTACAAGTTTATAAACGATTAGGTTTCCGTAGGAGTTCTAAAAAGATACATTTATTATTTGTCAATAATACATTAGAAGTGCATATATCTTTTAAAATCAGTCTTTGCATTTAATTATGAATGGAACTAGTCAGTGTGTTTTATGGGGCAAAACCTTGTCATATATAAAAGTGCAACTTAATTTAGTTTTTACACAAGAACTGCTACACAACTGTAATTGGAAATGTCAATATTCTATATACAGACATAAGAATGGATTTTAACAGAATCTGGGTTTTTACTCAGTGATTTGATAATTTAGTTGCTATGTGTAACCCGAAATAGCCAGGATGGGGGAAAAAACTATAATTCTGATATTTTAACCTATTTTTGTTTTCAAGCTAGTTCTTATGTAGCCCCAACTCACTGATTAAGAAATTTATTATACATTTTTTTGTGCTTAGTTGACGATCCTTTTGCCTACAAATAATAATAATAATAATAATAATAATAATAATAAAAAAACAGAGATTATTTGAAGTTACCAGGCAATTGCAAATTTAAGCCCAGAATAATTGATTTAAAAAAAAGTTAACCCCAAATTAGTGTTGACTATTTCAACCTCTGTATGTGAACATTTTTTCTTCTTTTGACTGCCCAAAATTGCCTGTTTAATGAATATACCCCCTAGATGTGTACAAAACGCCCTATTAGAAATTAACTGATTTATTTTCAATCCTTGTGTCCGTCTGTCGTTTTAAGCTTTAATTTGATTCTAATGTAAATTTTTACAATCACTTCATAATAAAAGCAGAGCATTATAATTTTTTTGAGAATTCCATATTTTCTATTTCTCTCATCACGAAAAAAAAAAAATCTCTACATAAATAAGATGTTTTTTTAATCTGATATACAATCCAGCAGCCAGGTATAAATATGTAATTTTGTTTGGAAAAACACATTGTTTCAGACCAACAACCTGCAGCTCTAACTGCCTACTCTATACGCAATTTAGTATCTTGTTAGAACTGTGGTAATAAAACTAACTAAACACCTACTATGTGGCAATAAGGAATCATAACAATGTGTAATCATTTTATTTTTATAATATGCTCTATGCATATAAACAGATAAACTAGAAAGGAAATCAAGAATATTATTATTTTTTTTAAATCATTTTTAGCTTAAAAAATAGATTTTCTCGTGGTTTTAAATTTTCCTTAAAATAAATGTGGTTCCCAAGCAAAATGAACATGTAATCGATAAGTTCATTTACTAAGGGAACAATCACTCCTATGGGACCTGTTAAATACCAGAGCTGAGGAGGATGCTTTCAAATATATGAGATAAGTCATGTTGAGAATATATGTATGTAGTAAAAGCAGGTACGCAATCATTCCATAGTAAGATATGAACTGCAAGATGGACTGGCATTAACCCCAAAAATATAAACATAAAATAAAAGTCATTAAATCCTATGTATGTAGATAGTTGTTAATTGTGAAAGATGGTTGCTTGATAGCTTCAATTAATTCACAAAAATACACATTCATTAATTCAGCCAGACAGTTGTGATCAGTTAACAATCCTGTATTTTCCCTATTTTGGCCTAAATGTAGTTTTTCAGCTAATGTCCTTTATTCAATAAAGGCAAATCCACGAATTAGAAGGTTTTCACTACAAAACAGACACAGTTATCCTTTAAAAATCAGAACTGAAATTATTTTACAAATAAAGGTGAGTATTTTTCCACTGGGAACCAAAACATTTATACACACAATTAATTATAATAAATTCAGCGTACAGGAAAAACCGATATTACATTACTTTCAATCTTTGCATACCTGCCCCATTACTTCACTGTCTCTCTATGCGAGCGAGGTTCGAGAAATCGCCCCAAATCGAAAGGGTTAACCGAAAGGAAGGGCTCAGTGGCCGAACCACCTTAGTCAATATGCACTGACATATATTATTATTGTTCCTTTGCTTACTCGTTTCTCTTCTAAATGCCCTCACAGCCACAAATTCTAATACGAGCTATTCACTAAACGGCGAGCTGCCGTGAACTGAAAACTGAACTGCAAAGTTTAGACAAAAATGCAGATCTGTATAAATTCTGCCAATTATAGTGACCGTTTGGACATTGTAACCTGGATTTTGCAAATCAGTTTTTTTTAATTCGCCACAACTCGATGATTAGTAAGTAGCCAGAAATATGCGGTGCACACCCAGGCTTGGCATATCAAAGGTTAAACAGACTGTCTCTGTTCATGTCTCACTGGTTGTTTGTTGTGGCCATTAGTGACTTTTATTAAAACTCTGTCGTCTATAAAACTATAAGGATGCAGTGTACATTTTTCATGAGAAATAGATGAGCACCATTTCATGTTTATCAGAATCAGATGTCTTGGGCTAATCCCTCCATGCCAACATTTCTTTGGTTGGAAACATTGTTATAATCTACAAACCAGGCAACTAGAACAAAAAGTTTCAGCGTCCAAACTCAGAGCATCTTGTTTCCCAACAAAGGATGAATACATTTACGTTTATATTTATTTCTAAAGCTGTTGATGTCAAAATGAATGTTTCTTTGTGGGCAGAGTGCAGTCAGTATTCTCACTTTGTTTGGCAATCTTTGTTGCCATTACATTCCTGCAGCCAAACTTGAATCCCATCCAGACATTCTCAATAACAGGTGCATTTAGGTGACAAGAATACTTTCTGCTTTGATAATAAAATGTTAGGGGATTTACTGGCAGACTAATGAGGTGATTTAGAAGCCTTGGGGTCTGGGCTAAAAACCTAAATCATAGGCAGCCACTGACAGGCTGTGGGGCCCTAGTTAGTCTGTCAGCCAGCAGCAAAGCATTCTCCTGTCTGAGCATGGTGTGAGTTGGAATCCACAAACATGGACTATATACTCTGTCAGCCAGCAGCAAAGCATTCTGCTGCCTGAGCATGGTGTGAGTTGGAATCCACAAACATGGGGCATATATAGTCTGTCAACCAGCAGAAAAGCATTCTGCTGCCTGAGCATTGTGTGAGTTGGAATCCACAAACATGGAACATGTATAGTCTGTCAGCTAGCAGAAAAACATTCTCCTGTCTGAGAATGGTGTGAGTCGGGATCCACAAACATGGAACATGTATAGTCTGTCAGCCAGCAGAAAATCATTCTCCTGTCTGAGAATGGTGTGAGTCGGGATCCACAAACATGGAACATGTATAGTCTGTCAGCCAGCAGAAAACCATTCTCCTGTCTGAGCATGGTGTGAGTCGGGATCCACAAACATGGAACATGTATAGTCTGTCAGCCAGCAGAAAACCATTCTCCTGTCTGAGCATGGTGTGAGTTGGAATCCACAAACATGGGGCATATATAGTCTGTCAACCAGCAGAAAAGCATTCTGCTGCCTGAGCATTGTGTGAGTTGGAATCCACAAACATGGAACATGTATAGTCTGTCAGCTAGCAGAAAAACATTCTCCTGTCTGAGAATGGTGTGAGTCGGGATCCACAAACATGGAACATGTATAGTCTGTCAGCCAGCAGAAAATCATTCTCCTGTCTGAGAATGGTGTGAGTCGGGATCCACAAACATGGAACATGTATAGTCTGTCAGCCAGCAGAAAACCATTCTCCTGTCTGAGCATGGTGTGAGTCGGGATCCACAAACATGGAACATGTATAGTCTGTCAGCCAGCAGAAAACCATTCTCCTGTCTGAGCATGGTGTGAGTTGGAATCCACAAACATGGGGCATATATAGTCTGTCAACCAGCAGAAAAGCATTCTGCTGCCTGAGCATTGTGTGAGTTGGAATCCACAAACATGGAACATGTATAGTCTGTCAGCTAGCAGAAAAACATTCTCCTGTCTGAGAATGGTGTGAGTCGGGATCCACAAACATGGAACATGTATAGTCTGTCAGCCAGCAGAAAATCATTCTCCTGTCTGAGAATGGTGTGAGTCGGGATCCACAAACATGGAACATGTATAGTCTGTCAGCCAGCAGAAAACCATTCTCCTGTCTGAGCATGGTGTGAGTCGGGATCCACAAACATGGAACATGTATAGTCTGTCAGCCAGCAGAAAACCATTCTCCTGTCTGAGCATGGTGTGAGTCGGGATCCACAAACATGGAACATGTATGGTCTGTCAGCCAGCAGAAAATCATTCTCCTGTCTGAGAATGGTGTGAGTCGGGATCCACAAACATGGAACATGTATAGTCTGTCAGCCAGCAGAAAACCATTCTCCTGTCTGAGCATGGTGTGAGTCGGGATCCACAAACATGGAACATTTATGGTCTGTCAGCCAGCAGAAAATCATTCTCCTGTCTGAGCATGGTGAGAGTCGGAATCCACAAACATGGACTATATACTCTGTCAGCCGGCAGAAAAGCCTTCTCTTGTCTGAGCATGGTGTGAGCTGGGATCCACAAACTGGGACTATATATAGTCTGTCAGCCAGCAGAAACGTATTTTGCTGCCTGAGCATGGTGTGAGTTGGGATCCACAAACATGGAATATATACATTTTAAATATATGGTTTCTTCACTAAACGGCGAATTCGCCATAACTGACAGTTTAGTAAAGAGCCATTTTAGTAAAAGGAAGCATTGGTTTGCAGCTAGTAAAGGTTACTGGATGGGATTTCACCAGAATTAAAATATCTAGATTAATAACAGCCGAATTTAAAACAATTTTCCAACTCTGAACTGCTTTAAATAAATTACAAACTCAGCTCGTTTCCATCTATATTTGCCTATCGTTCGCCAACTCGCCAAAACTCGCAGCTTAGTGAATACCTTCCTGAGGATGAATCATCTGGGTGAAAAGCATCTGCCATATATTGTATTTTCTTTCAGAATGAGAAAAATTATGTATTTTTTTCTCAAAATGTGTAAAATTACCATGAAATATAACATTTAGGTGAAATTAGTAGAATGGCAATTAATTCTCCAATTGAATCCAATTACTTAAAATGGCCAGAATAGATTGGCCCAAATTATTGAATTCACAGATCAGTACAAGATAATTCTCAGTTTAGTAAGTAACCCTGGTAATGCAACCGTTAAGGTATGTGAAGGGTTAACATTATCCAAGCATATTGCATTAAAAGGCAGTGTAGTTTCTATTCACTCACTCACTCACTCACTCAGATACTCACCAGTTATGGGAAGAAAGATTATTTTTGAAAATAGTTCATTGTATCCCGAATAATGATGCACAATAAAAACACAATTAAAATGTATCTGTTCAACCTTAAAATTACAAACCTATTTGCTTGTTGGCGTTTAAATAGTTAATAAAAGCAGTATTTTAATTTATGCAGTCCTACCAGGCCACTGCTCTCAGACTAAGTACATGGTGAGCACATGAATGTAAATGGCCATAGAGATTTGGCACTGGGTTTAGCTATTAATGAGGAGCCAAGGAGGCACGTAGGGTATAATATATTATTTCTCAAACTGTGTTCAGTTAATGGGATTGGGTTATTTGGCAATGGGTGCAGACTACGTGGAATTGGTATATATGTCACAGTGTGATTACTATGAAATATTGGGATCTATTCACTAAAGGGCGAATTGTTGCTTTGTTAAACCACAGGCAGCATTTAGACCAAACTATTCAAGATGGTAAAATAATATCCTTTTATGATGAAGATGTTTTCCAGCTCGCTTAGTTTAGCCTGCATTTTATTTTAAGTGGGTTGTTAGTGTCCCCAATACTCAACCTTTAGTTAATCTAAACAGTAAATGTGACTATACCATACAGAGCCCTGCAGGGCCAGAATTAGCGTAAGTGATCCCTAACAGCATTCCATTGACATTTGCTGTTAAAATCATCACATCATTTATTGTATGTGCTCACTGTCACTCATAAAAAGGGTATTAATTACGTGTATCTTCTTAAAGAGGCACCAGCATACCTAAACTGAGCACTAACTCAATATATGTCCTGAAATGGAAAGAAGAATAATTTATAATAATGTTATAGACCATTTCCAAATTATTATTAGTTAGCAGATATATATTTATTTATTTTTTGCAGGTCTATACATATCTTTGTGGGATCAGAGTTCTACGATGGCAAAAAGTCAAATATAGTCCCATCTTTTTTTATGAAATATTTTTACTATTATCATTCTATGCAAGGCAGGATTTAATCACAGCTAAGAAATCAACCTCTCGTATAGTTAGACAAATCTCCCTATACCCAGCCATGCCTTATAGGGAGTTTAACGTGTTGATTTAAAAATAAATAAATAAGGTTGATATGGGCATTGCCAGTCTAAAGCACGCTCAATACAAATCTACTTGTAACAGTCTCACCTGTTAGCATTGATGGCTCCGAATATGATTCTGGAATGCAATTCGCAATAAAACTCAGCCAGTCTTTCAGGCTTCCCCAAACTCCGGCCCTCCAGATGTTGCTGAACTACAACTCCCATGATTCTGTGAATGAAATAGACCGGCTGAGAATCATGGGAGTTGTAGTTCAGCAGCATCTGGAGGGAAGCCTGAGTTAGAGCTTTGTCGAACATCAGGATAAATGCACCCCAGAACCAGCAGGGAATGACATTCAGAAACATTTACCGTGTCAGATTGATAGAAGAACGAGCAGCCTTTTATTTTCTATCGTTTCATTATGCAGATGAGCATTCTACGTTTATTTTATTATTTTTCTAAAGTTAAATTTTTATTTTTATTTTTTTCCAGTGATGAACAGAAAGCAAAGCAGCCCCATCATTAAATCACAGGACGGTCACACTAATAATAATATACACGGGCTATCGATCCCAGCTTCTTCGTCGTAACTACTATTCGAATTCACAAAAAAAAAAAAAAAGAGAGAAGCAACTCCCATCATCCCCCCTGCATTAGAACACTGTCACCTTGCACGCTGTTCTCCTGCTGTGGCTTTTGGATACAAAGTCTAACAAGTCCACATAATCAGGGACCACGGCATTCTTTCACATCAGATTAGGATAAAGCAGAGGTGAGGAAAAGATTTGGAGATTGAATAATCTATTTACTTTGGGAAAATCAAGCAGGTTGTTGAAAGCCAAGTAGCTAAGACTTTTCAAACTCTTGTTTGCTATCGAGGATCTATTTTCCTCTATGTTCCTTTCTCACTTCCAATACCTTACATGCACTAATGTTTTTAAATAGAAATTGGCAATAAAGTCTGTTTTTTTTTTTTTTTTTTTTTAGAAGACAATGATATTTAATTCTTCTTTTTTGGGGGGTAGGGGATACTTCAATTACTTATTTTTCAGAAATCTTTGGAACATACTGTATGATGTGAAACAATCTTTGTTAAAGTGTAATGTATATCCTAGATTGTAAATGTACAAATAAATAACATCTTTTTATTTTATATTTTTATAAACATAAATATCTTAAATAAATGAATTAGAAATGGTTCTCTTTTTTTCATTGCCTGTTATTTTCATTTGTTACATTAAATATTGGCTGCTTTTGAGACACTACCAACAATTTCCTGTTTTCAAATCAGCTGTTTTTCTGTATTTATTTAATACATATTAAATATATATAAAAAGAGAAATTTTCATTACTTTAAGGTAATTTCAAGTGACATGGTTTCTGAGTTAAATTAATTAAAGTTAATTAGTGGCTTGGGATGCCACTATCCGACTTGAAAAATCAAGAACACTATAGGCCAGTAATACATTTTTCCAATATTTTCAGATCTCGATTATTAGAATATGGAGCGCTATCATTTATAAAAAAGATCGCTTTTAATTTTCTAATTACAACTTATTTTACAGTTTTGAAATATTTTCAGATATTGATTTATCAAAGAGAAAATAGACTCAATTTTAAGCACACTGAAATCTTATGTTGTACTGAGGTCTAGGTTCTAAACAGTTTCATGTTTAAATCTGTTGTCACTCTGTCAATAACCCTATTCAATATTTAAACACAATGCTCTGTTATCCGCAAGGAGATATACCTTTTATAGATTTTATTTTTAGAATTCTTTTTTTGTACGTGATACCTGGTGAACTACGATTGTTAGGAGAGCACAAATGGTACCAGGAAACAAGGCTATTTTTTAAAATTTATTGCTACCAACGTAAAATAAATCTTGAAGAATGAGTATTAATTGTTTTCAATTTACAAGGACGTTTTATAAGCATTAAATGCCTTTTATTATTGTACATGGTACTGTATGTCTTAGGCCTATAGAAGTATGTATGCATTTAGTAAGGTAAAAACCTACCTAATTATAGACATATACTGTTTCAAAGATGTGTCCCACCCAAGGGATCATATGCTAAAAAAATATTTATGAACCCTCTACATGTTATATTATATACTCAGTATTATCTTAAATGCATAGGGACATTCAAAGATTGAATCATTATATATAAAAAAATCCATATAGGGTTTTCCTGACACCATTCTCATTAAATGAGATTTAAACAGCACAGAGCTAATTTAAAGCAACAGACACCCTCATTACTGCTTACATAGGAAATTAACAGAAATGTATTAATATTATTTAAATATTTTAACACAGAACAAACATTTTGGATTCTTTGAGTAAATGTTATAGCAAACTGTAAATTGGCAGAACAAACAATGGCAGTACTATAGACAGGTTCAGATCTAGTTCTGCTGTGTGGTTCATGACCTAACATATTTTTATTATTATTATTATTATTAATATTATTATTATTATTATATTCAACACTAATGCAAGATATGACCAGTAGTCCTTATTTATTTATAAACTATTTTACCAGGAAGGATACTTTGAGACTTCTCTTGTTTTCAAGTATGTCCTGGGCCCACAAGCATTGCATTGTTACAACAGATTATAGCATAATGTTAAAAATACAAAATAGTATTAAAATACACATATATACATTTAACACAGAACAGGTAAGAAATATAATTAAAAAAAAATATATAACACAGTGTATATAAGACACTTATAAACAGTTCTGATAGTTGTATGAATTATGGTATCAGCAGCTATTGCACAAATAAGTAGATATCCCAAAAAATCCACTACAGACTCAGATGAAAATAACAAGCAAAACTCAGTGTTTGGGTGATCCACCCCACTTCCCAAACCACAGAGTAAAACCAGTGCAGCGCTTAAGATTGAATTCACACTTACCCCTCAGTATATGGGGGAATGTCCACATGCAAGAAATAAAAAATAGGAATATAATAGTGTGATAAATTTATGGAAATGTGAATTTCTTAAAGTGAGTATAAAGATAAACTCACATTTTTTAGAGCCTTTTTCGTAATCAGCTCTAAACAAAAAGCAGATCTGGACCTTTAAGGTGGCACCAGGGAACCTTCTTCTATGTGTGTTCTCAGTAGTTAATATGCAGATATAAGCAGAGAGATAGAAAACACACTTGGTGTAGCCAGATACAACAATTATAATAAAATATATAAAAAATTGCCTGCTCACCTTATCTGGAGCCTGTTAGGTAACTGGCTCCAAAATATTCGCTTAGTGTCAATTTGAAAAAGCCATTACCGGCAAAACGCGTCTTGGAAAAGAGGAAGGACCACAAGAAGAACTTTTAGTCTGCTGATTTCTGCATTTTCTGTTTTTTATTTTACTTGTTTTATTATAAATAAATTGTTATTTTATTCTACAAGTCCCCCTCTCTTAATCTACATCCAGAATTTCTGGTTCCCATAGGGAAGTGTCACCCTGTAAATTGACACTAAGCGAATATTTTGGAGCCAGTTACCTAACAGGCTCCAGATAAGGTGAGCAGGCAATTTTTTATATATTTTATTATAATTGTTGTATCTGGCTACACCAAGTGTGTTTTCTATCTCTCTGCTTATATCTGCATATTAACTACTGAGAACAAACATGGAAGAAGGTTCCCTGGTGCCACCTTAAAGGTCCAGATCTGCTTTGTGTTTAGAGCCGATTATGAAAAAGGCTCTAAAAAATGTGAGCTTATCTTTATACTCACTTTAAGAAATTCACATTTCCATAAATTTATCACACTATTATATTCCTATTTTTTATTTCTTGCATGTGGACATTCCCCCATATACTGAGGGGTCAGTGTGAATTCAATCTTAAGCGCTGCCCTGGTTTTACTCTGTGGTTTGGGAAGTGGGGTGGATCACCCAAACACTGAGTTTTGCTTGTTATTTTCATAAAGAAATATAATCATCTGTGATTACATGTGCATTACAGGCAGGCACTGACTATCAGTTTAAAGTAAATCGGTGTATACTTGCTGTGTACCTGATTTAATGTTCTTCCTAATGTGCTCTGCCTGTAATGCATCCTGATTATGTATTTTTGCTGGCTCAATAGGGTGCATTTCTAAGTACCATTACTACATTGGTCACTATAAACACCAATACAATGTTCCTGCTGCTTCAATTGGTTTCCATGGTGTTTGATCAGCATTAATAATAATAATAATAACTTGTAAAATATTATTCCACGTTCATAAATCTCTCCCAATGTCTTTCACAACTATGTGTCAACATAGTAGGTCTAATGTAATACTGATTTTTAAAATAGTTTTATTATCTTTTACTAATACCAGTGCGGGATATAAATGTGCTGGCAGAACTGCATATTACAGAGAAATTTATTTATATTATTTATATTATTATTATTATTATTATCGTTTATATAGCACCAACGTATTCCGTAGAGCTTTACAATATTTTAAAGGGGGAAATCTAATAAATTGGACAAATATAAAATGTTACCGGAACAATAGGTTGATGCATTTGGTTAAATATTTTGTTTAGAACTGCATAAAAAGTAAGATAGGTGACGGCTAATTTGTCTAGGACTTATCCCTGTGCACAGGATAAATTGTTATGTCAGCCTCAACACATACTTTCAGCCTATATATACTAGACGTGTACACCGTGAAAAATTTGGTATGTCTGATTTGATTCCACTGTAAAAAAAATTGTTTTGGACAAATCTGGTTCTATCCATGTGGCATCTCGGTTGAAATGAATTTCCTCTATGTAATTGTTTTGGGGAAGACGATTTGGATAAATCAAAACGGTGCAAAGACGCTTCTGTTAGTGTATTGCAAAATATATTCATAATATAAATAATATAAAAATTAGGTATATATTTTGCAGTACACTGATTGACATTTGCATACCATTTGGTGCACAGATCAAGTGATAAGAATTAACCAAAAGAGGAAAAAAGAGGAGGCATAATAATAATAAAAAAAAAATAACGACAGAACTTTAAACCACAAAAAAAGAAAAGAAAAAGGAAAAGTCTCATTCAGCACTCTTTTCATTTGATCACATGGTGATTTGGCATTACATAATCTGGATGACTCGCCGATTGCCCCTAATCCAGATGAACTGAGATTCAGCTGAAACCGAATGCACAAGTCTGATATATACGTACCATAAAAAATGATATGAGCAAATGAATTGATCCTGATTCTCTCTTGGCTCAAAGCTGGAATTGTAACTTTTGTTCTAAAAACGTTTTTTTTTTTTGTTTTTTTTAATGGAATACTGCCCATTGATTTTCATACATGGCAATTTGACAAGCACACTATTTAAGCAGCAAAAGTTACACAACTATTCATTTTACTTAATTGGTGGCTGCTAACCTTATATACAGGTCTTTGGCATTAAAGGACTTCTAATGGCTCTACAATTCCCAACTTTTTTTTTTTTTTTCTAAAACCATTTGCTTAGAGCGAGCTGTTTTAAAATTGGCACCTGTCCAAATATTAGCTGTCATTGTTGAGCTGCCATAATTTCCCGTTCAGATGAGTTTAATATTGGGGTTATATATAAATAGTAATTCTGGGGCAAAAATCTAAAAGTGGCGCAATCACTGGGGAAACAAAGAGAATGTCCTAGAATGCTTCACTTTTAAACATAGTCCCCATTTTGTTTTTCCATTTTAACCTGCATTTTTTAAGGGTTAAATCATAGTTAAAGGATTACTATAGGGTCAGGAACAAAAACATGCATTCCTGACCCTATAGTGCATTTAGGTGGCTTGCCCCCATATAAAAGTTTAAAACTCACCTTATTTCCAGCACCGTGTGGGTCTGCCGGCTCCCCTTTGTGACATCATTAAAATGGCCGATTTTTAGCCAAACCAATGCTTTCCCTTAGGGAAAGCATTGGATTAGCTAAAATAGGCATGGGGCGTAGCCAAATGCTGTTTTGGCCAATCAGGACCTCCTCATAGAGATGCATGGAATCAATGCATTTCTGTGAGGAAAATTCAGCGTCTCCATGCAGAGTGTGGGGACGCTGAACGTCAGAGCTGCTTACTGTGCAGCCCTAAGCCAAGAAACCCCTCCAGTGGCCAGCTAAGGAGTGGCCATTTGGAGGTGTCCCCAGTAAGTGTATTTAAGATATTTTAAAATATGTGAAAGATATGGGTTGTGAGTTCTATGTTGCTACAAGGAGGGCCTAAGACTCAGACTTGTTTAATATGGTGAAATATAATATGGTGGTAAAAAATGAAATGTAATACTGCAGGGAC